TTTTGATGTGTGAATAATAAGTTTCAGCTATAGAATACTTACGGTCTAAGAATAGGATCGGTTTAATCGAAAATCGGAGAATCGAAGTTATACAGAAGCAGCAAATTTTATTTTGCACAATAAGTAGATTTTCTGGTTAATCATCAAAATTAACATAAGCAAAATAAGTTTCATGTAAAAATCTGTTTCCATTATCCTACAAAAAGCGATCGAAGTTTCAACTTCAAACTCGATTTTTTCGAAAAATATGGATCAGAGAAACTTTTAAAGCGCACCAAGTGACTCAGTTTTCAATTCCCTACAAACTAACAGAATCCGAATTGGCAAGAAGTCAATTTTCACCCATTTTCGCCCATTTTTCTTTCAGTGTTTAGTCAGTTTGTGTCAATTTGTGCACAAATGCAACAATTGATGCTATTTGTGTCTTTTTAGTAACAAACAAGTAATATATTAAATAATTCAGCCGATTGAAACATTTATAGCACTAATTATCGAAATAAGGTGATCTACGCGAAGTAATCAGAATACTTTTGGACTAATAAACAAGTTTTATACTAGAACCGACTGATCCTTGTAGACCAACAACTGGTATAACTTCGCTAATGACATTCTCAAACTTTTCATCTTAATGCTACTACCACTTCTGCATCAATTACCATCAGTATCACCTCAAATATCAAATTCAGGCTCGTGTTGTCATCATCTTCAGTTTATAGTTCATTTCAACCAATACAACTGATCTTAAGGACTTTTGATCAGGACTTTTGAAACTGCGGCAATATGAGATTAGACAATTTTACAACAATCAGAACGCGTATTCAAAGCTCAGTAAAGAGAAGAAATATGTTACCACAATTAACTTAATCACGAATACTAATCGGTATCAAAATCTGATTACTGAAAACGATTAAGCGAAAGCATAGCAAAGCGAAATCCTCAATGTTCAATCGGTTACAGATACTACTGGTTATATCTGGTTGATCAAAGCTTCAAACAATTGATTCAAAGGATTAACTGTTTAACTAAATTGATCATCTTTGACGAGTTTCAATAAATTGATTAGACAGATCATCCTTGGAGATCACCATTAAATAAGCTCGGTAAATCTTGCAATTGATATTCCTTGTACTTCTAACATTTGATTGTAAATAAGACGATTTAACGTTTGTTTAAAAGAAGCGGATAAACGTTGATCAGCTTCCATAATTAGTATGGTTCTACCCAGTTCGAGTTGCTTTCATTTGTAAATTAATTTACTCTTGTAAACATTGTATTATACTCTTGTAAATATGTCTAAATCGGTGAATGAAGTTTATAACGGTCATAATGGTCACTCGAAGAAACCATTAATTCCTTACAGATACTTTATCATGACAATGATCACAATAGCTACAGTGATTGTATTTTTCACTCGAAGTATAATAAACGTTGCCATACTTGCCATGGTCGAGTCAGGTGAGAAGCAAAACAACGCAACAGTGCAAATGAGGAGTAAAGTAAGTTGAAAAACAATTGAAAATAATATCAACATTAATTTTAGCGATCAATTACGTTCATAATTGCTTTTACTAATAAACTTTATGGCAACTTTAATTGTTTTTAATTTCAGAGTAACTTCAATTGGGACCAGCGAGACCAAGGATACATTCTTGGTGCTTATTATTACACTTATACTGCCATCCAAATAGGCGCTGGTTCATTGACTGACAAGTTTAATGCTGTCCATGTATTTGCTGGTGCTCAAGTAATAGCCACAATATGCACTTTAATTACACCGATAGCAGCCAAGATGGGCATGTATTACTTGATCGGAGTTCGTATGGTTTTGGGTTTGATTCATGGTACGACATTTCCCACCATGTACATTCTTATTGCTAAATGGTTCCTACCAGGTGAGGTTGGACTCGCTCTTGGTTTAATGGCTGCTGGAAGTGATGTTGGTAGTGCTATTGTCATGTCGGTCACTGCTTGGATAAGTACTCTTGGTTTATGGGGAGGATGGCCAGCAGCCTTTTACTTGGTCGGTCTTTGCAATCTAATCTTTCTCCTTGCTTGGATATTTACGGTAACAGTTGAACCACAAACAAATAAATTTGTCTCCGAATACGAGAAGAACCAATTGGCCTCAATAACAACGGGAAAATCGACTAAAAAAGTTTTGAAAAAGGTTTGAAATAGCGAAATATCTATGCTTCTACTTTAGTTTCATAGCAATCGTGAAAGAATTAAATCAATTTTTTCTTCGATTTTGCTAATTCTCTAATAACAATCAAGCTCGTTTGATCCATATAACTTTATTCTATAACAATCAGTAACAATTTCTAGTGCTATGAATCCTAACTCTTTCGTGATTTAATGTCAAATCTACAAGATTAGTTTTACTTTGCTCGATTTATTTTACATTGCTTCAACCATTTACAAGTTTCGTTGAACCAATGCTTGATCGTACTAACAATTTAGTTATAAATAGTATTCCTTTTATTGAATTGCAATACGTTAACACACCAATTGATCTTGATTATCTATCTATCCGCACAGAAATCAACTCCATGGATAAAATTTCTTACATCTCTACCTCTCTGGTCTGTTATCATTGCCAGAGGTTTTATGGGATTAGCTTATTCACTAATCTACAGTAAAATCCCCGTCTATCTAGCTTCTGTCCTTGGCTACGATATCAAGCATAATGGAGCAATTAATGCAATGTTTTACATTGCTGCCAGTGTGTCTCAAATAACCATTGCGCCATTAGCAGGACATATTGTCAATAAAGGCTGGCTTCGTATTACATTAACCAGAAAAATATTTGAAACCATTGGTAAGTTTACAAACAATTGGGTAAACTCATTGAATTAACTTAATCTTTCAATTTACAGCTTTCTGTGGCATTATCATCAACCTAATAGGAGTTTGTTACCTGGAAAATCATCATGCAATTATTTTCTGTTTAGTTATGTCAATGTTTTTCTATGGATTTCATTTCGGTGGCGATGCTTCCATTATACCTGAAATGGCTCCAGCCTTTATTGGCACAACTTACGGGTTTGCCAATACATTAGGATGTGCCGCTGGTTTCATTACACCGGTCTTTGTTGGAACCATTCTAGGAAATGATGTAAGATCAATTCGAAAACTTAAACCTTTCGTTCATTCAAATCGAAACTCAATCTAACATTACTTTCATTACTTTTTTCAAGGCTTCTTCACAACATAAATGGGCAATTATATTTCAAATAACTATTGGTCTTCAAGTTGTTTCCATGATATTATTCAATTTATTTGCTACTGCTGAGCCACTCTCTTGGGCTGATTATGATGAAGATGATGAACAACAACCACAATCGGTTGAAACAATCAGTGAAAATGTGCAAAGAAAATTATCAATTATCGCTTATTAATTAATCAATGAATCAACCTCCATACCAATAACGGACTTGATATCATATATTTACATTCCTTGTTTGGCCTGTTTTGACTTAATCATTTCAACTGTAAACGGCTAAACATTTCGTATCGCATATTGATCTAAAATTTAATTTGAATACCACAAATGACTAATTTCACTCCCATTGAAGCAGCCAAAACCTGTTGAATAGAAACGCTTACAAAGAGGGAATCAAATGTGGGCTCAAAATGACCTTTCGAATCGATGGGTAGTCTTTTATGCTATTATCTAGACTACTATTGATGATTATACACACAACGTTCATGTTTTATTGACTAAATGATTAAAATATGTAAAACTGTGAAAGCGCTTAACCTTTAACTGTGAAGTCTGACTTATGTTCATTTAGTTGAATCAATGATGAGTAGTTTGCTTTTTGTAATTTACAATTAATATGCAAAAATGTATTTAAATTGTTGTCTTTGACGCATCTTATGCTTCCAGAAATGGATGATAATGATTACCCAAAAACCAAAATATGGTTATGTTAACCTAATATGGTTTGTTATTGAATAAAGTCAAGTTTAACTGGATTAACAGATTGTTTAACATGACATAATCATTGGAGGCACATCACTCATAACAATTGATTGCATTATTAATTGTTATTAATAACAGTTGACCCTTACATTGAATACAAGGTTGAATTATTCACACGAAATGAAAAATTACCCACAAAAATCAGAATCGTCTTTTAAGTTAACAATCAAAGGAAGCGACTTTAATTAAACAATGCAAGGGCAAAAATAATACAATAACATTAAATTGTTCATTAAACTAGACTAATATGTTGATATTGTTGTAATAATATTTGTATTTCCTAAAGGTTTTAGCCATTTAATGATGCGTACACACAATTACGGTTATCCTTATTATTTGGGTTTACATTGAATTAAACCATTTTGTTTGTGGTTATAAAGAAGAAACTTGATCATATCATTACAATTTGAGTGGAAAATTAATTGTGATGGTTGCACAATTACTCTGTTTAAGTTAATTAACAAACTAAAATGCTGTAAAATTAAGATGTGAACAGCGATAACTGGTAATACATGTTGAACAATTTGCCTCTCACAACAGTTTGTCAGTCAACTTGGATTGTGATGAATTCAGGTAAACCAGACAATCTTTCAACTCTTTCTGAAGTTGATTGTTAATCGCTTGATTATTTAATTAAAAGAAATGCCATGCATATCAATCAATCATTGGAAAGAAAACTGTTGATTAAAAGAAAGAAAACAAAAATCAAATTATTCCATGCTTTTCATTTGTGACAAAAAATATCAGCTATCTGGCTGGTCTTTAATGGCCTAAATTAATTACTCTCATCATTAACATCCAAAGTATCAAAAGCAATAACATCAACGTCAAATCACCACAATAATAATAATCACAATCATCAGAGTGTTAACCTTATCAGCATAAGAAACATCATTTCCATCTCCAACGAATATTGATACAAAAATCACCTGAATTTGACCTGTATTTCAGCATTAGGGTTGGTTTTTCTTTATTAATCGTCCATCTTGATGAGGAAGAACCCTGATGATATGATTAACAGGATGAAAATGATCCAGATGATGAGAGTAATTAATGTAGGCCGTCAAAATCCTCGAAATAAACTGTAGCTTTACCTTTCTTTTCCTTGGTAATGTTAATTCACTTTAAAATGGCAACTTTAAAAGCATTGAATCAATTTTGGACAACTAATAAAACTTAATCTCAATCATACAATGTATCTAATCAATCACATAAATCAATTGGTCCAATTTACTGATCACAACATTTAACAGAAAACAGTTGAAATTTCAAATCTTAAAACCGTTACTTAAATAAGTATCCAAAAACAAAAAGATATCCAATTATCGAATCCAGATCAATACAAATTTATTTTATTTTTTATTAAAAATGCGCCATCTTCAAGATTATTTCCGCAACTAAATATTTTCTATTCTTGTTTTGTTTTGTAAAATTAAGTTAATTGTTTTATGCTTAAGGCAGTTGATGTGACAATTTTAAATGATTAAATCAACGTTTTACTATATTATCAGTGTCCTTGTATTATTTAATCTAGAACGGTTAAGCTGATTCTTTGAAAATTGTCTGAAAGTCATTTGTTTGTTAACATGCAAAGTGGCTAACCTTTCATTCAATGTTACGGTCAACTTATTAACCTTACCAATATTTACTCTAACAACTGGCTATCAAACTAAAATTTATAGCTGTAATTATGTTCTTTAATCGTTCAATTCAACTCTGGCCAATTCAGCTGGTGAACTATTCTATTGATTATTGTTGTTTGTCAGCATTGATTGTACTAGCCATTGGATGTTTCCCGTTGTGCCGTTAACAGGAAAAAAAATTGAAGTAAATTTCAATTTTGTAGTGAATAACTAAACGATTGAAGGTAGGTTAGCTTATCTCATGGTAATTGGTAAACTCGTATATTCATGTTGAATATCTATAATATATCGTTAAACACCATTTGACATTTTAATTTAGTTTATTATTTTGACCAAAAAATTAAGGTCATTTTATCATTTTGTACGTTTGATTCAGCATTTAGGGACAGTCAATTTAACTTGAGCTATTTAACTTTCATTTCTTAATGTACAGACGTTGTGTGTTGATGAGATATTATGTATTGTTTGTCAGCAATTTACTGTAAACGTCTAAATAGTCATTATAATCTATTACAATATAAAATAACTTAAATATTGAATGATAAAATATCTATCAACATGAACAACTTTAACATGTTACAACAAAAGGGCAAATTATTGTTGCTTTCAACCCGAGCGTTTGCTGGTTAAATCAGTTGTTGATGTTGAGTAAATAACAATTTATCAAATGAAATTGGTCAAAATGATTGTTTAGGCAATTTGACCTTGAATAAACTTGATATGCTTGTTACAATCAAAAATAAAGATTGGGAAAAAGTTTTAAATGATGAGTCTAACGATGTACTATTTAAGTTTCCCAGTTTGACTTGTTATTTGTAACTTATAACCGATTGAAAATGATCAAAACGCCCTTAACATTTGCACCTACAGTTAAATCCAGAAGAAGACGAAGAAAGTTTCAATAGAAAGTTATCATGATGATAATGATGAAAATAAAATGTGAAACTAGGCCAAGCCACGTCAATTGAAGCTCATCATCAAACATGATCATCATTGCCTTATATTAGTTACTTGTTATGTTACTGTTATGTTTCTCGTCCTTCCTTAATATTTTTTTCTTACTTTTCTTTTTCTTCTCTCTCTTCATGATAATGATGATGATCCTCATCTGAACCGGCTTCAGATAAATAATTTATCATCCAAAAAAGTCTCCTTCATGAGTCTCTCACTGAATCTCTCACTGAATCTCTTTCATCATGTTCACTCTCAATCTTAAACAGCATTTTGTTTTCAATCAAACAGTTTTGCTTTAAAGTCAAAATGATTTCATTTTGTACTTTTATTGTTTTGGATAATATCAACAATTAAGTTTGCTAGACTTTGTTTTGTTTTAATTTAACTTTCACTTGTTTTTTGTTTTGTTATTTGTTTGTTAAATTATGGATAAAATGAATTGGTCAATAATTTTGTTGTTGTTTGGATGTTTATCATTTGGAGTTGATTGTTTCCCTCAATTTACTCGATATCAATCACCTTATAATAGCAATCCATTCAATCGTCGAATCGATTCAATTGATCCAAGAAATTATCAGTTTTTACTCTTCATCTTCATCTTCATCATCTTTTAATATAAATAACAATCCATATGATAATGTTAATAGATACAGTTTGCCTGATGTAAATGATCCTGTCTCATCAATTCGTCGATTCCCACAGTATATTCCGAATGAAAGACCATCATCTTCATCGTCATCGTCTTCTTCTTCTTCTTCTTCTTCTTCTTCATTGTATTCTCGTCCACCTCAAGTTATATCAGTTTTAAGTAACAATGGGAATCCTCATCATTCATCAATTACTTGGAAACCTCCAGCAACAATTAATCCACCTCCAATTCCTGGTGCTGTTCCTGGTCGATCACCAGCTGAAATAGCTTCACTTACTTCATCATTAGGCTTCTCATCATCATCATCTTTAGTCCAACCACAACCACAATCCCAACCACCACAATCATCATCATCATTATCTTCTCATTCAAATGGACGATTCTTTCCATCAGCACCAGTTTCTGGCTCATTTCAACCAACAACTGATCCTAAATTCATAACACATCACAGATTAAATTTACCTGACAGATCAATTGATTCAGTTTCACATCCAAATAATCCTTCAATATCTTCTTCTTCTTCATCATCTTCATCACAGGCATCACCACGTCAACCAATTGCTTCCATCAACAATAATAGTACAGGAAAAAACGATGATGCTGTTATTTATTATTATTATTATTACGATGATGATGATAAGAATGCAACTCGAATCACTAAAAATGCTAATTCAAACACTAATTTAGACTCAATTCCCAGTTTAGAAGATTATGATCCAATATCAAAACCAAAAGAGGCTTTAAGAGGTTCATCGATACCAATAACACCACCACCAACAACTACAAGAGCATCAACAGCACCAACTACAAGATTGACATCGACAATATTAACCTCAACAACATCAACTCCAACAACATTTAGACCAATATTTAGATCAACTGAACCACAATCAAATGGATTTAATTCTGGTTATGCCTTTAATACAGCAAATTATAATAATTACTTCAATCGTCCAGTTGATCGTCCAACTTCAACTTCAACTGCACCAAGTATCATAAATAACAATGAAGAAGATGATGAAGGACCGATTCCTAATGTATTCAGATATGGATCAAATGCTGGAGTCAGACCTTCATTTGATTCAGTTCGATATGGTAATGTTCAAGGATTAAATTCACGTGGAAATAATCAATTCATTTCAGGTCAATCATTCAGACACACACCACCTTCATCTTCATCATCATCATCATCTTCTTCTTCTTCGTCTTCAGAATTTTCATCCCCAATTTCATCTACAAACAGACCAAATCTTCCGGTTTCTTCTTCTCAACCTCATAATATTCATTCAAGTGAATTTACTGATGATTATTTAGAGCCTGAAGTTGTTAATCATAATCGACAATTCGGACCTAATGGTAAGAGTCATTTGATTAAACACTTTTTTATTTGTAAATTCAACATAAATCAGGGAATCATCATTCTAATCTTCAATCAAAATCAGTCGCAATCACAATCTTAATCTCAATCTTAATTTTTTTTCTTCTCACAATTAAATGAGAAAGTATTTCAAGGTTTACTCATTCTTGAGGGTAAATATTGTATTGAGCCTTAAAGAAACATTTGTCGTTGCAAAATGAATGTGAATTCATGAAAGATATTATAAATCAAAGAAACGGTTTTTTTAAATCTCGGTAAAATTTCATGAATCCATTGAAATCGAATGTTTAAATGTGAAATCTTTACATGAGTTTAATTCAATGTTTTTAAACTTGAAACTGGTTTAGGATTTTACAATAATTAATAATAATTATTCAAATTATCAAGTAAAATGTTTAAACACGCAAAAATAATAATAATAATTTTCTTCCTGTAATTAATCAACCAGATTATTCATCAAATATACGCGATCCTGGTTTAATTGTAACAACATTCACTCCAATTACAAGACCAACAACTTCATTCACTCCACCAACAACAACAACAACAAGCACAACAACGACAACGACAACAACAACCACTGAACCTCCACCTTCAAGTAGCACAACATTGGCCCCTGTAATCGATGAAACAACAACAGCTGAATCACCTTCAACTCGTCGCCCAGGTTTGTTATTCATCATTAATTCATTTCATTGATATTCACAACATTCATTAAACTCTTTTCTTATTTTTATTATATTAGGATACGGTAGTCGAAGGCGCTTTGGTAATAATAATCTCAACAGATTAAACACATTGAATAGACCTCGATCTAATCCAATAACACCAAGTTCATCAACTACAACAACTTCAACAACCACAAGCACCACAACTCCAAGACCAAAACCAAGGAACTTTGGTCAATCATTCAGAAGACCTTATAGACCGAATCGCAATTATGGACGAACTGATGATGTCAATAAAGAAACTGTTGCCGTTCCAGAATCAGTCAATTCATTGAACGCAATTGCTCCAAACACATCATCATCATCATCATCGTCATCTTCACCAACTACAACAACAACGATCGCTCCTCCAATCACACCTTCATCATCTATTTCTAGTACTTCTTTAGTACCTCGAAGATTCGGTGGATCTCGAAATCGATTTGGTTCAATTCAAAGGTCACAAGTTACTAGATCACCAACTACTAGTACTTCAACCACAACAACAACTACAACATCAACAACTGCAAGACCTTCAATTCGTCGACCCACATCTAATTTCATATCCAATAGAACTCGACCTCGAACTCGTCCCAATTTCTTAAGAAACCGAAATCGAGGATTAGAAGATGAATCAAGCTCAACTACAAGCACTTCATCCACAAGCACAACAAGCACAACACCTTCTCCACCTGCACCTTCAACATCACAATCGCCATCAACAGAATCTTTATCATTTTCAGGAAACATAAATGAAGGTGAATCAGTTTTATCTTCAGGAGAAATCAATGAATCAACTGAAAAATCATTCAGTTCATCAAATTCGAATGAAAATGAATCTTCATTGCCTGAATCAAATCCATCTTCACTTTCATCTTCTTCAGTTGCACCTGTTTCTTCATCAACTGAATCTCCATCTTCATCTACATCATCATCAACAACAACAACTTCAAGTCCATCGACTGAAGCAACAACAAATAATAGACAAACTCGACCTCGAAACCCTTTATTCAGAAATCGTCAAAGACCTAATTTTTTCGGGGCTCGTCGTGGTAATAATGCCAATAACTCCAACGCCAACACCAACAATAATAACAACAATTGAAATCACTAAGTTAAATTATTTTCCTAAATATTGAAATCGCCAGAATATCCATCAATTTCAATGTTATAACATAAAAATTTGTTCAACATCACATTTTCAAAATTAACTTCACTTTATTCATCGATTATTTTTTTACAAAATTTCAACAAACCTGATGAAATACTTAATGAGATTATTCTAGTTTCATACTTTTTAAGCAAATCTCTCTTAATACTGTTCTTAATATTAACAGATTTTGTAATGAGAAGATTTATTAACCCTTTCACTTGTAATCACAATGAAACTATTTGTCTCAATGTAAGCGCGAACTCACTCAATTGATTGTGGAAGCATTTAAATTATTTTCAAAATAAAATTTTTTATTCATTACAATACTGAATAACTTTTGCGATAAAAATATTTCCTCAAACAGAGTGTTTTTTCCTCATCAAAATTACTTTTTACAAAAGTAAATGAAATCAACTCAATTTGATGGATTGCGCTCAATCCTGACATTTGATTTAAACATGATTATTGACCATTAATATCTAACATTTCCGTGATTAGTTGAGATGTGTAACCCAAATGTCTTTTGACGATATCTTGAATCTTTTTCCTGGCATTAAAAAGTAACAGGAAATTCTCTAAATTACAAATCAGCTTCTTGATTTCATAGTTGGCTTCCAAGATTGAAAAACCACGAATTTCTAAATACTTTTGTACCAAATGAACTGTGATAAAATATTCCTTCCTAAATGAAAACAAGACGAAATCGGTTGATTAGCTGAAATTGAAAACGCATTGAAATCAGTTTAAACACAGATGGAAGGTGATCCAAAATTAGATTACCTGACAGCATAAGAGGACCGAAGGCTTGCAGAGTTAGGGTTAAGAAGGCAAAGTATAAGTATCAATAGATTGATTAGTGGGTCAGAGCGTAATATCGGGTGGATAGATGCGGTCAATTCAATAAACATGTTGTCATTCATCATGGAACACCTTTCCATGCTGATTTTTTGTCCATTTATCTGTTTAAAAAGGATATAAAAAGAGAGTTAAAACTTAAAGCAAAGACTAATAAAAACAAAAGCAATTGTATTACCTTGATTGATCTCGTTTCTGGCTCAACGAAGATTATGCTTTTGATTATACACAGATCCAGGAAACGCGATTTGAGCAAGGAAATTTGATCATCGAGACATAGATTTGTAAACGATGTTATCTTTTTTACAGCTGCAATCAACTTCTCGGTGTGCTTTTGAATTATGTTTATTTGAAATTTATCAACAGGCTCAGTTCTCTCAAGTGCAGCGTCTCTGTTCTCGTGTAAAATATCAGATATTTTGGCAAGCTCATGGTACTTTTTGTATTCAAATTGACGCAGGCCACTTTCAATACTTAAACGTTCTTCTTGTAAGTTTAATTGGATAAAATTGTCCTCAAGTAATCGATTAAAAACAGTCGATTCAAATAGATTTAGCAATTCAATGTCTCGACGCGCCTCGTTGTCCTTCAAAGCAACCCAATCATCTGATATTGTTGTTGAATCGGTTTCGTGTGAAAATATTGATGGCGACGGTGAATCTTGTGACAGTGAGGGGGATATTGATGGGGATTGTGCTGGAGATGATAATGAAGATGATACTGATAACATATCATGTGGCAGAGTTGCTGCTGGGGTTAATGGCAATGTTGACACGGTTGTACTTGGCAGGTACGAAGGAGATGTTGATAATAAATCCGATGGGTAATAAGAGTAATTTAATGTTGTTGGGTCATTATAATCAGATAAACCAGAATTCTCAAGATTGACATCATCATTGGTTAGCCATGAAACCGTGTTATGATCCAATTCATTTATCCAAGTGTGATCAGCTATTAAATCACTTGAGCCTGTAAAATCAACATTTGGGCTTGAATTCAGTTGACCAGTGAAATCCTCAAAATTGTAACACAGCTGTACCAAAATTAGGTTACAAGATAGAAATGAAATAAATGCAAAATTAGTAAAAATTAATAAAATTAGACGCACAAAACAAAATAAATAAAGACTTACCTCATTCAACGCATTTTCATTGTTTACATTGTCTACCTCCATTGTTTATTAGTTGAACTATTACCCATAAAGCTTTGTTTTTTGTCGAGATTTTAGTTTACGTTATTAGTTGTTAAGTGAATAGCACGATAAATAAGTATATTACATTTCGAATTGACTAGAATTCCAATACAATCAATTAATAAAACAATCAACCAGAAATGAGTGCGACAAACAATATAACACAATGGCAAAAAATGAATGGTATAATTATAGAGAAGCTTAAATTTACAATGACTTTTTTATCAAGGATATCTGATTATTCGAAATATTGCCTTTGCTATGAATCAGATTGCCTGTTATAATCAATGTATTGTTAATGCAACCATGTAGATAAACAGCGTCTGAGCTAAATTACAATTAATCTATTAATATTTAACAAATGCTCATTGAGGTGGTATAAAATTGTCCAAATATTATATCCTATTAACGATAATAATTACTATAGCAGAAGTGCCTTTGACTGGTTGAAATACTGAAAATTCATTAAATGTAACTAAAATCTAGCTTTTAATTTGGTCAACAATAAACTTAAGCAAACGATGCTGTTTAGTTGGAAAACAGTTTTCAAATTATCTAACACATCTAACAAACAAAACAATTAATATTAACGATATCGAAGTATCAACAATCAATGGAATAATATTTTAACAAGAAATCAATAAACTAAAAGCCATATAAGCTGATAAGTCAATTGAACTTAATCAACTGATGAACAAACAACGATGAACAAACTTGTAAAAGATTTGTTTCATTGATTATTAGAATCATAAAAGATGAAAGTTAGCTGATAGATTAAGGCAAATTTGACTATTTTCAATTAATTTATTTACTCTTTTCCATTGAGAAAATTAGAAAACAGGAATTTAATTGCACTTGTTATTGTAGCTACATATTTGATAGAAAAGCTTGAAAAAAAGTAAACAATGTCTGGCATCCTTGAAACATAAGCATCATATTTCAAACAGAGATGAAAAATTTTGAAAAAGTGTGTTCTTATTGATTGTAATGCATACTATTTCATTAGTGTATACTATTTAAATAATAGGACACGGCAAAAGAGTATGATCACATGAAAATGAGTACAGAATATCCAAGAGTACAAAGATTCCTTAAGGTATTACATCGGCATTGACAGCACCAGGAACATGAAGTGAGTCTCCGTCCATTAAAGTCAAAATTTGAAGACTAATTTCTTCTGCCACTTTGAATTGTGCCTCTCTAGTACTTGCACCAAGATGAGGAGTACAGACAACCTTAGGATGTTCCAGAAGCTCAGTGAATTTACATGGTTCCTCTTCATAAACATCAAGAGCTGCTCCTGCTACTTGTCCAGAATTTAATCCCTCCAATAGTGCTTTCTCATTAATTGTGCCACCTCGTGAGCAATTGATAATCCTGACTCCTTTTTTACACTTGCTCAAGGTAATTGAATTGATTAATCCTCGAGTAGCTTCAAGCAGAGGAACATGGAGAGTAATGTAATCAGCTAAAGGCCAAATTTTTTCCAATTCCATATATTCAACACCGAATGAACGAGCAACTTCAGGAGTAACGAAAGGATCAAAACCAATTGTTCGCATGTTGAAAGCTTGCATACGACGTGCAACTTCTCGACCGATTCTACCCAATCCAATGATGGCTAAAGTCTTGTTCATGACTTCGTTTCCTTTGAAGGATTCTTTATCCCAAACACCAGATTTTAGTTTTGAACAAGCAGCCACCACAGGTCGAGCCAAAGACAATATCATAATACATGTTAGTTCAGCAGCAGCAATAGTATTCCCACCAGGAGCGCTATGATAAAAGGAATAATAAAAAGAATTAGTTTTTCAAGTCAAAATATAAAACCAGTATCAAAATATCAATGAATAAAATCAGGTGTAGAGAAACAAGAGGACCAATCAAGAAATCAATCAAATAATGGAAGAAATATCTTAAAATTTGGGTCTTGATTGATTTCTGGATCTCTAATTTAGATTTAGATTGAAATGATTTACTTGATAACAAGCACACGATTTCGTGTAGCAACGTCAACATCAATGTTATCGACACCAACTCCAGCACGACCGATGACTCTCAAATTTTTACCGGCATCAATAACTTCCTTTGTCACCTTAGTTGCTGATCTCACAATCAAAACGTCATAATCCTGGATACAAAAAATGATAAAAATGATTTTTACAGATTAGATTAGTCTAATAGATGGAACATGGGAACAGCAGATGAAATTATCAAATTATCATCGATGATAAGCAATGTATTTCGGATAAAATAACAATCATGACTGATAATCTTGAGTGAGATGAAAGATAATGAAGGTAGACATACTGATACAGATCTACTGAAAAAAGAGATAAATTAACACTAAATGGAAATAGTTACATGATAAATCTTTCAACAACCTTACAAGACTCAGAAACAGAATGAAGCAAAAATTAAATAGCTGTAGGAAAATTCAAACTTAACGAAGATATCATCAAATATTTTCTGAATAACCTTGAAATAATTTTGAAAATTAGCATGTCAAAGGTCAGAGATATTTACGAGTGAAAAGCTCAGCACCAGATAAGTGTCTACCTACAAAAATAGTTCAATACATCGACTGTTTCAAATCAAGAAAGAAAATTAAAAGTTTAAAATGAAAAACAAACAATTGACTTACTCTAATTATTGAAATCAGCTCTCGATTAGTCAGTTTTGTTTTTATGTCAACTTGAATATTCCGTTTGAGTAAAATGTCAACAGCAGCTTTGTCCACAGCATCGGCAATTAAAACTTTTTTTAAAATCATTATGCGATGAAATTAAATTATCCAGGAAACAATTAAACCAGTAACTAGAGAAATTAGAAACAAGGTAAACTCTAATTGTTTAGTTTGAATCTAGGCTTTTATTGTAAAAATAATCAACACCTTGAAGAAAGTTTCTCCTAAGGAAAATGATCCCCCTTTTTGATGCGCAGTAACCACATTTTATTTGATTTCTTACGTTAATGTTTCATATTTTGTAATTACCGCTTTAAAGAGACTTCAACTAATTTTATCTTTAAATCGTTTCTGTTCTGAAATGTTATCAATTTCATCAATTTATTGTTTCAAAATCTCTAATAAATTACTAAATAGAAACTAACAGTTCTGGGAATTAGATTTAAACAGATGGTAAAACGGTAAACCAATTGTTAATGATATTATCACACTTCATGAGGATAAACTGCACTATTTGCTCATCAATCTGTTGAACGGGTAGAGTATAAAATTTATTGGAAAATTTTAATTACTCAATGTTGCATTTGCTGATGAGTTTGGCAAAAATTAATGAATTTTCTTAATTAAATATAACATTTCGATATGTAATTCAGATAAATATAGTATTAGTTTAGAATAAATGCACTAGAGGTAGCTGTTTACCAGTTGGTAACTAGGAAAGTCATCTTAAATTACCTCCTGAATTAATTATCTCTAATTAGTGAACTTTTATAATTACTTCTAAAATTTTGTGATATTATTCTTACCAACACGGAGATCTACCTTTAGACATATTCATCGTTAATTTCGGTCAACAAATACCTTAGAAATGAGTGATAACAATATTGCTGAAATGCTTGATTTTGCTAATCTCAAAACCTGTAGGAATCCAGCCACTCTCTCACCTGTTCTTGCTAAGAACGATGTGACTACAACAATCTCTCACTTGAGAGATAATTTCATCAAACTCACTGATGAACTATTAGGACATATAAGTGAGACCAAGAAGAAGAACATATCTGTACCTACAGTTAATGTAATCAACGCTATGCTCCTGATGATCGATCATGTTGCCAAACATAACAACCCTGAGATCAACAACACTCTTAATATGGAGGCCCTTGCAACTAATATCGCCAACAGGATTCAAAAGATAGATAAACCCATGCCGAAGAAGAAATCAAAGAAATATATAATTAGAACCAAAGATGAATCCTTTACTCCTGACAACATTTATGATGAGATCTCTAATCTTACCAAAAATGATGATACCATTCAGATTGATGATGTAAAAAAAGGGTTAACAGCTGTCAAGATAACAACAACAAACAATGAAGCTATAAGAAAAATAAATCAACATCTGGATAAAAAGCAATTATGTGACAAAGTAGAAGTCAAAGAAATGGCGCCACTACTTCCTCAGATATCTCTGATCATTAACAACCACTCACAAGAATCTATCGAGACAATAAAAAAGAGAAATAATATTCCAGTTGAAGAGGAGATGAAAATTGTTGCTGCCTATGATATTCCCCAAAGAAATAAAATTAACAAGAAAAAACTTATCATTAGACTCTCCAAGAATGCAAGACAGATAATCGAGACAAGAGGACGTATTTATGTTGGATGTGAAAGTGTAAAATTTTACGACAACTACTACATCAAGACATGCGCAAACTGTATCACCATCGGACATACAGCCAAGTATTGTGTCAAGAAAACATGCTGCTTTAAATGTGAAGGTGAACATGAATCTGTTAAATGTGATAAACAAGCTAATAATATATGTCTATATTGTAAGAAATCTGGTGAATCTGAGTTAAACCACGTACCAAGATCTCAACAGTGTCTTTCCTTCCAAAAAGCCATCAGAAATCTTCAAAATATCACAGATTGGAATAATGATAATTAACTTTGTTAACCTAAATTGTGGTAATTCACTTCTCAGAACCTCAAGTATTATCAATGACATTCCTGAAACTTATGACTTGGCTACTGTTCAAGAACCGCATCTTCTACCTCTCACATCCATCAACAATCATCATATCGTAGCAATCCAACATGGAAGAGCAGCCATTGTTACCCTCAGAGGTGCAGTGTCTAAATCCTTCCATATTCATCCAGACTCTCTTGGTATTATCACCAACATAAAAGGTCATAAAATCTTAATCATCTCTGTCTACATCTCACCATCATCCGACAGCTTTGCCTACGATAAAACAATTTCCGGTATAACCAAAATTATCAATAGTAATACTAATATTCCCATTATCATCGCTGGAGACGTTAACTCTGTGCATCCACTATGGTCCTTTCAACTCTACAATAGACTCACCAACAAGGGTAAAACCATAGCTTCACTACTCAATCATAGAGACATCAAAATACTAAACACACCATCATCGGATAACTGGACTTTCAAAAGATTTAATTGTAATCCTCAATGGATAGATATTGTTGCCTCAAATCTTCAAAAATTTTACTCCTTCTTCAATCATAATACCTTCATAACTCATCTGGAAAACAACGACCACAATAGCATTACTTCTCAAATCGAAATTCAAGGCAAAATAACTCCAAAAGATAAACCAAAGAAAATATTCAACAAAAGAAAATACTTTAATTACATCCTGTACCTCTATAAGACTACACCTCTTAACAACATCGAGGAAGTAAATAATTTCATGTGGAAAGTGATCAATAAAAGAATAGCCATGTTTTATGATCCAGTAAATTGGAAAGAGTTTAAAGAAAACTCCACATGGAGAAATTTGGAATCAAATCAACATATCAACAATAAACTAAAGAAAATGGCCAGGCTTAAACGCAAAGATAGATCGACTCTAACAGATGAAGAATATCTAACCTTAAAGTCCAGCCTAATCAAACAGATGTATAAAGGAATACATGAATATTTCAAAGATTCTAAAGACTCTAAAGAGAAATGGTCAAAAATCAATTACTTTTTACATGAACACGATACTAATCTCGATGATATTTACGACTCCAACTTGGACAAATGCATCAAAGAATTTGAACTCTCAATTAATCACTTAGCGGTAACTTCATCATTTCCACCAAAAATCAACAATCAGAATATTGAATTTGAACAAATTAAAAACGCATTAAGTAAACTCAACAAAACTGCATCTCCTGGTCTGGATGGGATAAATCTTTCTTTCATCAAAGATATAATTGAAACAAATCAAGAAAAATTCTGTAAGATTTACACTCTAATCTTACAACATAACTTCATTCCGGATACCTGGAAGATATCCCATACAATCTTCATTCCGAAAAGCGATGGTAAAAGACCTCGTCAAATATCAATTCAATCAAATCTAAGCAAAATTCTTGAAATAATCATCCTAGATGAATTATATAAGAACATCCCAACGAATTTCTTCAATCATCAACATTCTTATCAACCAAACAAAAGCATAAACACAGCCTTGGATGAGATTTTTACGCCAATGACAAAGGGTTCTAACTGCAGCTTATTTCTAGTGGATATCGAATCCGCTTTTGACAACATTTACCACGAAGCCATATTAAAACAACTTACCGATCTCCATGTTAACAACGATCTACTCAATCTTATAAAGTTTTACTTAAAAGATAGATCAATGGCCATTCACACAAATGATGGATTAAAACTAAAGAATTGTCAAAATGGAGTTCCTCAAGGCTCCATTCTTGGTCCCACTCTTTATATTATTGGAACTCAACAAGTCATCAATGGTCTTAACAATACAACACTTCCACAGCCTCCATTCTTCATCAATAACAGAATCACCCATGATCCGACTCAACTTCAGATTAAAACCACAGCATATGCTGATGATCTAATCATCTCCATCCCAACTAGATCTAATGATAAATCACATCATGTCATCATGTCCACATCAATCATCATACAATATCTAAACCTTATCCTCAAGCCCTTAAATCTCTCAATACTTCCCCAAAAAACAACATTACTAACAGATCATAAAACTCACAAAGATATCAAAAAAATAGGAAACACTAACATCAAAATTGAAACATCTCACAAAATACTAGGCATTGAAATCATCCTCTTAGCTCCTTTCTTTTATAACATTAATACACTAAAAGATAAAATACATCAAACAGCAATCAAGATATACACCGATAACTCAAAAATTATTAACCTTCCCATGGATATTCTCAACTTAGTTAATGTAGCTAAAGTTGAATCCACAGTTTTTACTTACAGTAACCTAATTTTCCCCAGAATCATGAGATCAAATCCTTTCAGAGATGAATTAGAATATATTAGCTCCCATATAATAAGAATCTCATGCAACTATGATTGGAAAATAAATAATCTAACTGTTTGCTCACTCATAGGAAAAATGCCTATCTGGGCAAAAATAATCAAAATCAAAATCTCAGAAATCTATAAGAATAACTTTCAAAGCAACAACATGAAATTTAACTATGAATTCTTCCTAGATTATCCAGAACTTGGACCTACCATAAACAGCAATGCCTTATGGTGGGGAAAAAACCAAATTATTGATCAAATTATTTCAGATATCATAAATAATCACTGGCGGGAACAACCAAACAACGACTTTAAGATTCTTGGAAAATGGAGATTAATCTCCTCCAGAACTCGCATCGATAAATTCACAGCCATGGTACTCAACAAATATGATTACTTATACAAGGATGAAGTCTGTTTGTGTGGATCTGAAATAAATGACCCAACGCACTGGATAAATCAATGCTCAACTCTTGAACAAGAAAGACAAGAAATTATATCATCTCTAAATCTTGAAGACTCCAATATCATACTAGCTTTCCTCACCAGTAAATACCATCAAAGCTATAAAACTTATATGGAAAAGATCTACGAAAACCATATACTTCCAAGATTGGAAAAATATATTTCTGAAAAAACTAAACCTTCATAGATCTACTATATTCTTTCGAACACTTCTCTATCTTTTTCCTTCTCATTAGATTTATCTTGCATTTTTCATCAAATTCCCTATCTATGCCCCTACCTCCTTTACCACCCAATAGAGCTTTCTCTTAATTACTTTCATAATATCAAAAATGAACTAAATGTGAAACCGAACATCTCAATTGTAAAATACCAAATGTAACTTAAACAAACATGTATATTCAGTTTCATGAACTCCATCTACGAAGATGCGCATTAAGCATCTTCTCAATGTATTGCGTACAAACAACCAATAAAACCAGGCAGTTTGGGTTGAGAAAAAAATCCTCTCATTTTTTACAATTAACTGTCAATCGATATTATGTTAAATCGGTTTGATTTTGTTTGTTTTGTTTTGACTTACCGGCTCAACTAGGATTGATTATAAATCACGATTATTTACTCTATCAAATTGGTGGCAAATATTCATTCCGAGTGTTTAATTCATAATTGTCGTTGTTCTCTTATGTGATATCTCTTGTAAGTATCTGTCCTTCATAATTTCTTACTCCTTTTTCCAAATTTATCTCATGTTTTATGTATGTATGAATCAATTGCTGTAATATTTTTGCCTATTTTTGGTTTAATATTTCCTAATATATCTTAAGACTGATCATCATACAGACTGACTGTCCCTTCATCTATTATTCTGATCTCATCTAGTGTTTAGGTTGGAAAGGGTTATGATTATTTTCATTTATTTATTTTAATGATTTACACTATTCTCGGTAATACTTTTTGTCAAAAAGTCTGAATTATCTGTAAATTAAATTGATATGGTGAGAAAGTCTTGCAACCAAACACTGACATTCATCACTCATCTTTTGTTCTAAATTCATGAGAATATTCATTTTCTATTATACATTGCAGAATTGATTTTACAAAAATTATTGTCTCATCACATTGATTTTGATGACGTGATATGTTGATATCTTTGGGTTAATCTATTACTATTGTGTTGACTTAAATCTTGAGATTCATGCTTATTACACTAGTTTTATTCAAGCTTCTAGAAATAAAGGAATCTGGAAAAGGTTCATCTTTTCATTGCCCTAGGCTACCAGTTTAATATCAAACCCTGAAAGCTCAGTGTACTCTCCTTTTGCTGTTTCAACTTGTTGATTAGTTTCCTGTTTTTTTATTTTTTTTCTTACCTTATAGAGTTATCTAATTTATATTTTACTTGTCATTTTTTTTCTAGCCAACTTATCGTGGAAATGGGTTCTAAAGTTTCTCGAGACAATTTTGAATGGGTTGGAGGTGATGAACCTCATGCGACACGTCGTAAGCTTATCCTGGCTAAGCATCCAGAGATAAAAAGTTTAATGAAAGTTGATCCCAACTTCAAATGGATCGTGTTATCGCTTGTCATCTTTCAAATAATTACTGTGATACTTTTAAGGAACGTTACCTCTTGGTTTATTTTATTCCCCATCTGTTATTTCATTACGGGAACTGTAAATCACGCATTAATGCTCGCTGTTCACGAGATCGCCCATGCTCAAGCATTTGGTCCTAATCGTGTTATGGCTAATCGTATTTTTGGTATGATTGCCAACCTCCCTCTTGGTATTCCAATGTCTGTTTCGTTCAAAAAATATCATTTGGAACATCATAGATATCAAGGTGATGATATTTTAGACACCGATATACCTTCGAAGTTTGAGACGCAATTCTTCACAACAACATTTCTAAAGCTCATATGGGTCACTCTTCAGCCTTTCTTTTACACTATCAGACCATTATTTGTCCATCCTAAACCACCAACCATCCACGAGTTAACAAATCTAGTTGTTCAATTAACTTTTGATATAATCATAGGATTGACATGTGGATGGCATTTAGTTTTTTACCTTATTCTTGCTAATATTATTGCGATGGGTCTTCATCCAGTTGCTGGACATTTTATCTCTGAACATTATATCATGTTTGATAAAGAGAATATCCAGACAAATGAAACAAGTGTTACTCAACATGACGGAAAATTCTTAATCCCAGAAACATGCTCATACTACGGTCCTCTCAACTATCTCACTTTTAATGTTGGATATCATGTTGAACACCATGATTTCCCTTCTATACCTGGAAGTAAATTACCATTAGTTCGAAAAATAGCTCCAGAGTTTTACAACCATCTTAACTATCATACTTCTTGGGTCAAAGTTATTTGGAGATATATTACCGATCCATCCGTCGGACCATTTGCAAGAGTTAAACGACCACACAAATTTGGATCAAAAGAGGTCGAGACAAACGATGATTCAGTTCTTTTAAGCAAGGCTAATGGTGTCAACAAATCAGCCAATGGTGTAAAAAAAGACTCTTGATCTTTATCATCTCTTAATTATTAAAAAATTAAATCACTAGTCTTTATCCGCATAATTAGAAAGGAGATCGATTTAATTTTGGAAACTCGGGATATTTTTAAATATTTTCGTTATTTATTTATTTTGCAGTAGCTCATCAGCAGTCAAGATTTACTAAAAGTTATGATTTGTAGGTTGATTTTGCCAAGTCATTGCTTAAATTATTCTTCATTAGTCATGCTTGTTGCAAAAAACCTTGCATTTTTAACAAAGGGTTTTATATCATCTTGTTTCAACGCTCTTATCATTGCATAATATTCACACATTGAACTTGGTTACAAATGAGTCGGATTATCCAGATATTGAAAGCTAACTTCGTAAGGATTGAGGTTTATAAAGAGTCTCTAACCAAAAATCTCAATCACTCACCAATTAAATCAAACTAGTTTGTATTGTATTAAAGTTGAACACCAATCTGAATTTTACTGAAGCAAATATTTCCAATTGTTTTGTTTCCAATTGCAAATCAATTAAAATTTGAGCAAATTATTTTGTTTTAAGCAAAAAATTGTTACTTCATTCTGATTATTTTGGCGAGAAAATAAAATTTCTATTCTTAAAACCTCATTTTACATTCATTTTTATCAATTTAAACTATAAATCAGAACTTTTATTGAGAAAATTCAAGCTTTGAGTCTCGTAGCATTTTTTCATACATTAAATAAATTCTCTCTCATTAGATGGAGCTAGAGATAGTGCATTAAGTCATCGACTTGTTTGACTAGTTTCGGCTTTAACTTGCTTAAATTGCTTAGTTACTTGCTTTTTTATCCTATGTTCAATAAATGACCATCTAGTTGAGCAACATGGAGGTCATCAGCATTTTGAAGAAAATAAAAGAAAACCATCTTTACGTCAATTTATTCTAAGAAAGATGTAACAATTTTTCTTCTCTCCATTGAAGCAAACGATCCTGGAAGATGATGTTTCTCTTTTTCCCTCTCTTCACTCTCCCAGTTTTCTCAATCAACATCAAACTTGAAAAGGATCATTATGTGGTTATTCAACAATATATCAAGCTTCAGTGGGAAATTTATTCCACCATTATCAAAGTTGCAGTTGCTAATTAACGGACAATCATACCAGGATAATCATTGTAACTGAGTACCGATCACTTGAATTCAGACTATCTCAAGCAATTGGTGTCATCTTGAACCATATTTTGTTGTGACGGTTTTGTAAAGTTAGGATTGAAATAATCTAGAGACACAATCATGACAATAAATCAAAGGATATAGCTTAATTCAGCTACAACTACAATTAAATTACTCAAATACACTCTTGGCTTACTTATCAACTTGAGATTTGATCAAATCAATGTAATGAACTTTAGAGCTACAAGTCAATATGAACAGTTACTCGGAACAAATCGATGATTCTTGAGTCTAAAGGTTTTCGTGTTACTTTCATTTTGAAGATTCAAGAATATTTTCTCGCTTTCTGTCAGTGGTTTGATGTTTTGTCTCTCAAATGTTCATCATTACTGGTTGAATGATCTCTCTGTCTTGTATCCAATTACTAAAAATCTCAAATAACATAACATCTATTGAAATAAGTATCTAATTGATTAGATATGATTGAGATGGATCCAATGACAAAGAAAATCTTGCCAGAAGAATTGTTAAAGATTATTATTGGCAAGTCCCTTTGAGCGACAATTTTCACCATCAAATCAATTCTCATTGAGAGTTTCAAACGATTGAATGACTCTTCAGAGCTGGTGCAACTCACGAACTAATCCAATTTCAATTGATTAATTTACATCTCAAACTTTTAATTCAGTTTTCTTGAACCTAAACCACAATGGAAGCTAATTCATCAACAATCAAGCTTATAACTACAAGTGTAACGATCGGTTTTATTGGTGCTTCAATTGCTTACATCTTATGGAAAGTTCGTAATCGCAATAAAATTAAACCCTTCATTGATGTTGGTAAAGTGAAAAAGATTTTCATTTATCCAATTAAATCTCTTAAACCAATTGAATGTGATCAAGTTGATGTTGATGACCAAGTAGTCTCTAAAGGCCAATTAAAAGACAGGTAAGTCTAACAATATAGCACTTTCATATTCCCAATTTGCTTGACATTATTTTTTAACTGTTTACAGATCATTTGTACTGATCGATGAGAATAATAAATTCATCACTCAAAGACAAGAGCCAACATTAGTCCTGCTGGATGTTGAGCTGATCGATGATAGAGCAATCAAGATAACATCACCAAGCAAAGAGTCAATTGAAATCCTATTGTCACTGGACCTAAATGAAAAAACTGAGCTGGAGATCATTCAAACAAGGTAAGGACCAAAAAATCTTCCTCAAAGAAATTAATTGATTGTGTTCACTTAGAGTCTGGGAAGACGACGTTAATGGAATCGATTGTGGGACAGAAGCTTCTCAATTCTTCTCAAATTATCTCAATAAACCAAACATTCGATTGCTGCGATTTGTCAAAGGCTTAATTGACCATCGACCATCCCAAGTCTATCGTAATGGTGCCATCAGCAAAGATTCAAACATAAAGGTAATGAAATTATATCAACCTTAACCTTGTCTTTAATTGTATCCTTTCTGTCTTTTTACAATTACAGATTATGTATCAGGATAGTGCACCAGTTTTAATTATAAATGACAAATCAATCGATACGCTGAATGATCTGTTAACTGACGGCCAAGTCAGTCATTCAAATTTTCGTCCAAACATCTTGATTGAAGCTGAAGCTTTCGATGAGGATAATTGGGAAAGACTAGTGATTGGGGAAACTCAATGGCAACAGTTGAAAAAATGTACACGATGTCGGATGACAACAGTTAACGTTGAAACCGGAGTCTTTATGAAAGAACCAATGATTACTTTGCGAAAGTGAGTTTACTCAAAAACGGATAATTGATTTTACTAATTGAAATTACTCTTAATAGATATCGTAAGCCAACTGGACCTGATTCTGGTTATCATTCACCTTTAATGGGAGTCTTCTTTAAACCTGAAACTAGAGGAATTATTAAAGTTGGCGATTCAATTGCAGCTTCCCATAAATCTTGAATCATCTTGCAATCTACTTTTTATACCTTCTGCATTTAATTATCGTGGTTTATGGAGAAATTAAAATTGCCAAAAGATAAAATTGATATCATCTTATAATCACATGATCTACTTTGATAGTAAACCTCTTGAAACCTTTAATTGAAAGATGTCATTTCCTAACTTGCTTTTTGTTAGACAAGTGTTTTATTTTTGTATATTATTTGTGTAAAAAAACATGGAATCGAGTGAAAAATTAATAAAACAAGTGATTTTATTTGGATTTGGATTGATTGGTTTAGCTACCGTGATCAGTCAATTGCTTAAATGCAGATTAAAACCCTTTGTAAAAGTTGGTGTTATCCGTAAATTATTCATCTATCCAATTAAAGCATTGAAACCAGTTGAGTTGAGCCAGCTGGAAGTGTATAAACGTGGAGTTCATTGGAAACAATTAAAGGACAGGTAAAGTAATGTAATTAAGGAGAGCAATGATAAGTTACACGTTTTATATTTATTTGTAAACAGAGCTTTCATGTTGGTAAATCGTAAAAATGTAATGATAACTCAACGAATAGAGCCAACACTTGCTTTGTTAAATGTTAAATTGGACTTTCCATACATAATTGTTTCAACACCAGACGAGACTGATTCAGTTAAGATCCCAATAAGAGATGAAGATTATGAAGATGAAAACGTGGAATCATCCGAAAAAGGAGAAATCGTTGAAACCAAGTTTGTATTTTTACCCATTTCTAGATCTTACCAAAAAAGCTAACAATATGTTTTGATTTACTAGCATTTGGGGTGACAATATTAAAGGAGTTGATTGTGGATCAAAATATGGTCAATTTTTCTCCAATTATTTGGGTAAACCCGATATTAAATTGATACGATTCGATTCCAAATTGGGCTACAGACCATCACAGTATTATCGAGATGGTAAACTTGGAAAGGACCAAAATATTGAGGTAAATATGCTGTTTGATGTCGATTCATTTTACTTGTCTAATTTTTTCTCCTTTACATTTTAGATTATGTATCATGATACATCAGTTATTCACCTTGTCAACACTGAATCAGTAGAAACTCTAAACTCATGGATTGAAAGCGATGAAAAGGTTTCTTACATGAATTTTAGGCCTAACATTCTTGTTGAAGCTGCTTCTTTCGATGAAGATGATTGGGAAAAGATGAGGATCGGATCTCTTGAATTTCAACAATTACTTAAATGTGTTCGCTGTAGAGTAACCACCGTTGACAGAGACAAAGGCACTTTCATGAAAGAACCGTTGGTTGCTTTAAAAAGGTAAAATTCAATAACTTTGCTCTGAATAACAATCTAATGTGAAATTATCCTTACAACTAGACATCGTTTACCTAAAAATGAGGATTTGGGTTACATTGAAGCTCCTGGATCTAATGGAGTAAGTTGATTCTGGTCATAAAATTTTCATCATGACTTTCTAATAATAATGTATTCTTGATTTCCCCAGAAACTGACATTACCATTAATGGGAGTATTTTTCAATCCAGAATCAGAAGGCGAGATTTCTGTTGGCGATGAGGTTTGGGCCTCGCATAAACACAAAAGTTGGTTTTAATTGCTAACCAATCATTAACCAAACAGTGGAATGAGTAATATTTTGGGAAAGAACTGGTTCGATCATTTGCTAAAACTAATTGATGCATATGAGTTAAAGATAATTTGAATACAATTGTTATCAAGTTATGGGCGAAGCTATATTCAATAAGCTTTTGATTGATGATTAATGATTTTTGAAACAAATGAAATGTTAAAAATGATCTTGATTAGGATACGGATTGATAAGTAGCTCAATAAATGTACTTTTTTTATTAAACTGTTTATTAAAGTCCATTCAACTGTATGTTTCAATAGTTTACTAATTGACTTTGCATTGAAAAATGGAGGAGAAGCCAATTATCTTGAATTATTATCAGGTAAACCACTTTGAATTAGATGAATGAATCAATTATTGGAGAGCATCATTCATGTTGAACAATTGAACTCGGCCATGAATTAATTAAAAATGAAATGCTCAGTAAATAGACTTGATTTAAAAGGTATTTATTATAAATTGTTTTGATTTGTTTACGGTGAAAGGTTTAAATGAAAAGCGCAGTAAAAAAGGTAAATTAAAACCAATCTTTATGCAATCTAATAGACAACTCAAAAATGATCATTTTAATAATCATAATGTAATGTATGTCAGGTCCTTTTTTACATTTAGGGGTCAATCTCTCAAAATAACAGTCCAAAAGTGAATTTAACCAAATCTTCTTTAAGGTGATGTAAAAAGCAACCTAAATTTAGGTTAAACACGATATATTTTTCCGTAACTTCACGTATCTTCAGCATCATTGATTATAATCATCGCCATCACCATCATCATCATCGTTGCTATTAACTAACAACATTTAATTTTGTCGGCCAAGTAAAAGTTATTATTAAAATGAAAGTAAAATAAAGTAGCCAACAATAACTGTTGGCTAAATGACGCTTTGGTTTTCCAGTTTTGTATCTCCATTTTAACTTTCGTTTCTCAGTAAATGGCAAGTTAACAGTAAACAATTAGTTGACGAATTGTACTAATTCGGTGTAAATTTATCATTCAGACAAATAAACAAGTCAAAAAATGAAACATTATATTGATGATGGCAGCAAGAATTAATGTGAATCAAGAAAAAATAGAGAAAAATGTGCATATTAAATACAGCGAGTAATACTTGTTTGTTTACAATGTTGATCCTCATAAACAAAACCTTTCACTTGATTGTCAATGAATATTATTAAATTTTAACAGTTTTAATCATTCATCTAACAAGACCATTCCTTAAATGAGCAACTAATTGTCTTTTATAATCATTAGCATTTGAATCTTGAGTGGTTGAAGTGAATGTTGCTGGAGACGACCAGAGATTATTGGAAGGTTTAGAATTGGTTAAATCAGCTGTCCTCTCTGTTGGAGCCAATCGTTTAACTACTTCATTAAATTTGTTCAGTAAATCATTTACTCTGGTTTCGTTGATTACAGATGAAAGTTGTGGTGAAGACAACAATGATGGAGATGAATCCATTCGTGGTGAAGATGGTGCGTATGAAGATAACATTCGTCGTCGATTGGGTATTCTGAAGAAGTTAATTAATGGCATTAAAACAAATCCCAATGGTAGACTCCAATAGGCAATTTCAAGGGAATGAAGGATGGTAACGAGTAAAGATGGATCGGCCAAAAAATCTAATTGTCTAGGACTTGCTTTGGGTTGATTAATTCGATATTGACGCAAAATTTGAAGCAATTTACTTTCACTGATTATTTTATCCTTTTGTTTGTTTACCTGGATCTTTGAACAATTGTATCCTTGATTAATTAACAAAACAATTGTTACGAATAACAACAGTGTTGACTTCATTATTGAGTTGGTTTTGTTGATGAAGTTTACAGGTTATAATCACAGTAAATGTTTTGTTTTATCAATTGGATCAATATTGAATGAAATTAAAATGACGATGACTCAGAAACAGAAGTGAAACAAATGAATGTTAACTGTTAAGGTGAAGGTTTTAAAGTGTAAATATAAAGTTTTGATCAACAGTAAAGTAAAAAATGAAAACAACAGGCTACTAATAATTTAGATTGTTTATTTACTTGATTTGATTGTGAAAGTAAGAGTATAATGGTAATGATGAAGATGAAGATGTGAGTTGAAAGATGAGGAGGAGAGGAGTTGAAGAAGGAGAAAAAAAGAAGATGATTATTCACGATAAAGGAGGAGTAAAAAAAGATGAAGCTTATTAGATGGACGTATTCATAAATAGGCACATTAAACGGACTTCAGACTTCTTTTTTTTCTGACTTAATTAAATCTTATATAACATGATTAGTTAAGTTGTATTCATATTAACATTTATTACAATGTCATAACAATCAAAACAGGGGTGTTATACAAGTGCTTTTGTTTGATGAAAAGGTTTTGTTAAGGGGATAATTCGAGGCTAAGGCAAATGCCTCGAATAGTAAATGTCACGCCGACACTGCACAGGTCTTTGTTGTCGTCTTCTATTTTTTTGAGCAAAAGCAGATCCAGTTTCCAATGTTTTTATCAGACTATCCATAAATCCTTCTTGATCTTTGTCGATATCAACAAGCGGCTTCTTCTTAGCAAGCCTTTCAGCCTTTTCTTTTTCAGCACGACTTTTGGCTTCTTTGGCACGCCTCTTTTTCTCTTCTTCTTCTCTTAATCGTACATTTTCTTTGTAACAGTCAATGAATTGATCTTTGAAGGTTTTTATATCAGCGAAAAATTCATCCAAGGTATAGGTTTTAGGTTCAAAAGTGTAAAATTGGCCCAAATCAGTATAAAGTCGATCCATTTTGTTGAACATAGATTGTAACAATTCAAATGCTTCTTTAGCGTCAGCTACAAAATTGGTCATAATAATTCCAAATTTATCATCCTCACTATGAGGCTTAAAATTCCTTAGATCCACTTCAACATCAGCAATACTTTTTCTCATAGCATTTAAATTTTTTTGCACCTGATCAGCAGAAACACGGGCAGCTCTATCAACATGGTGTAAATCTTCATGGAAACTTAGACAGTCAGGATATTTTCTTTCAACAATCTCAACTAAAAAATGTAACAAGGTAGTTTTATTATCCATTGCTTTAGTTGATGAGAGTTTAGGCAGAAAGCTAATCTCGAAACCAAAAGCTTCACCATTACGTGAACCAGAGTTCATATAATTTCCAACAAGCAAAATTAATTTTAATATCGTGGCAAACCGTTTAGATTTTTTAACCTCTTCACAAGCAGCTGTTGCGGCAACAATATCTGGTTTAATATCTTGAACCAATTCGGCAAACTTAATTTTAAAGCATGTAGACTTGAGACGAGCTTCCAAACGTTTTATAGATCCTAGTGTTAAGGCAAATTGTTCGGCTTCGTGAAGATTTTTATAATCATTACGAAATTCCTCTAGTTTAGTCAATTGTTGAGGTGTAGGCATATATTTGATCAACTGTTGAATAATGGCATCTGTAAGATATTCCTCTCTCATATTTAATATGTGATCAGTTAATTCTTCAGGTTTCATTTTGATGGAACTTAATAAGATCATAAGGTTTTGAGCTGCCTTTGAGTCTAAGACTTTCAGCTCTTTGGTCTTTCTCATTGTTCCGTATTTTTCAACTGTTTCATCATTCTTTACTTTCTTCGAGTGCATTTGAGGAGCAGAGGAAAACCTGGATGTTAATCCATCAAATATATCTTCTGAAGCAAGTGCATCTTCATCAGCTGACACCCAGAATGATTTTTCTGATATCTTGGTTGGAGTAATCTTTCTCCAGTTTGCTCTTTTGATAGGAACTTCATGTTTATACACTTTTTTTGGTTTCAAACCGGGAGGTAACACAGGTCCAGTTGGTCGGAAACCTCCGAAAGGAGGTGGAGGTGGTGGAGGAGGACCACCACCAAACCCAGGCATCGGAGGAGGAGGTGGTGGACCGGATCCGGGCATTGGTGGTGGAGGAGGTATATTAGATCCTCCAAACCCAGAGCCTGGTGGAGGAGGAGGTGGTGGTGGTGGTGGAATTCCAGATCCTGGTGGCGGTGGAGGTGGAGGAGGAGGAGGTGGAGGAGCTGATTGTCCATTCGTGGTACCTGTAGTTGATGAAAGTAAATACAGAGAAATATATTAAAGAAAATGATACGATAATTAAATGTCAAAAAGAAAGGATAATCTGCTTTTCCTGATAAAAATAATACGAGGAATAAGAGATATATAATAGTTTTAACATTCATGTTAAGACAGGTTTTGACTATTCTACAGCTATAATCATAAATTACTACGGAAGACTATTAAACTGATTTCATGCATTAAATAGTCTTTTGTGACTTTTGAAAACATTAATTGGCAACGACAAAAAATTGAAAATTAGAAAAAACTAAATGTAAGTATCATTAAAATATCATTTTCCATTAATTATTCAATGATACAACCCTAACAAAATTGCATAAAAACTATCAGCAATAATCATTGTTATGAGCTACTTATTAAGAGAAAAATATCGAAAAATAAAATCATGCCATAGCAAGGGTGGAACAAAATTTTATAAAATGATAAGTGTTCCAGTTCTGCTCTTACTCAAAGTAACATTAGATGATCATGAATTGAGTTATTTAACAAACTAATCAAGTACTAATAGCATACTCTTCCGATCTACTATAATCGAGTCAATTTTTTTATTTCTTTACAATTAGTTGCATTGTAACTATCCTAACATTAAAACCAACGACAACAACTTTGTTTATTGGAGTGCCTCTTGTAACCATTTGGGTTTTATATAAGATTGATATCTAAAATATTTGAATAATCTTATGAGAGAGGTAAATACTATGAATAGAAATGCAAATGTTACATTGCCATGCAGTTGAATTAGGGAGAAATGTTTTCAACTATTTTAACGGAACAGGAAATCCTCGGTGTTTGATGCAAATTAGATTTAAAAGTAAAATAAATAAATTGACTGAATAAAAAATTTACTAGAATAGTAATTAACTGTAATGTCACGTTAAATTTGACATGAATCAGATTTTCTTTTCCTCAGCATGAACTCAGAATTGAGAGAAACCCGAGAAACAGATAAAGAGGAAAAAGAAGGAGAGATAGAGAGAAGGATGTAGGTAAAAATCAGTATTTGAAGATTGAAACTTACCAGGATGAAATGGAATGTTGTCTGGTCTATCACCATTACTAATCAGGTTATTATTATTATTATTATTGTTAGCTTGATTCTGAAGTCGAGCTTTAAGTTCTTTTATCTGATGTTCGTAGTCTTGTGCTTTGGTCTCCAATTGTAATACTTTTGCTTCAGATTCTTGTTTTGCTGTCAATGATTCTTCCAACTTTTGGCACAGCTCATTATTATTCTTTTCTTCCTCGGCTCTTGATCTTTCAACAATATGTTCAATCACGTAATCAACATCGATGTTAATCTTTTTACCATACCTAAAGTCCGGATCACATCCACTTTTATGTAAAACAATTTGAGAGACACATTCTTCTATTAAACGGTAATAAGCTGGTCGTGCATAGGGGTCATCACGAATGAGCAGCAAATGCTGTAACATTGAAAGAAGGTAAGGTTCCGATGGTGTAGCTTTGATTGAATTATGTATCAATTGGAAACATTCGCTAATATCTTCTAAATCAAATCGAATAGCCTCAAAACGCGAAGTTAACTCGTCGAAGTCTTCATCCTTGTGCTCATTGAAAACCTTTACTTGAATGTTTAATTCCGATGAAACAGGGGATCGATCAGAAGATGTTGTCAAATTTTCCAATAAATCACATAGTCCACTTCTCATAATTTCATTTCGCAAATGCAGTCTGAAATCCGTGTCATCGATATTACTGAGTATGGCATTTATTAATTGTAAACAAGAAGCTCTCAGCGGATCATTACTGCTTATTCTGAGACCTTCGACTAACGGTTTAAATCTCCCTTCAGAATCACCATATTGTAACTCAGCGGCCCTAGTAATGGCTTCTAAAACTTTTTCACAACCCATTGGGGGGATAAGGCTGACAGCAGCTAATAATTTTACAGTGTCCATCATAATATTAGGCAAGGCAGGATCAATAGATCGAGCTAAAAGGGTAAAGGCATCTTTATCATTGAAAGCTTGTTTAAGGCCAGCAGTGTTATTCATGAAAGCTTTGAGGCACTTGACACACTCATGTTGAAGCTTATGCCTGAGTCGTTCATTGGTTGAATAACATTTATTTAATATCATAACAATCACACTTAATCCATTATTATCACCGAATTCTTGGACCCATGAAACAGGATTATTGGTTAATTCAACCCTTAGCGATTCCATCCGATGGCACAGCTTGTTAAAATCGTTAGAATTGAGGAAATAATTGATATAATCCAACGGATGGTTAAACTTTGATCGGTCCTTGTTGCTTTGTTCCGATCTGACTTTCCAATTATTTTCTAACATAGCTTTCTTCACGTCCAGAGTCATCGCTCGAAGAGGTTTCTTTTTTTCTTCCGAAAGGTTCATTTCATCCAACATTTCCTCAAATTTAGACGAAATTTCTTCTTTAGTCATCGACTCTGTCAGTCTGAATGTAGACTGCATCATGTTTCTTGTTTCCATTCACACGTTTAAATAAAATAACAGGGACACCTTGAGGGTTAGGTAAAAATAGAGTATATCACAAGATTATAAAAATAACAAACTAATTTAATTTTAATCATAATAATAATAAAAATTAAAGAACAAAAGATGAAAATGAATTCAATTCAATTTTCTAACGTTCAATCATTGTACTATCAAAGTGAGTCCAGGATCAGATACCTTGTCAGATATTTAGAGTCATTTAAAATAGCACCATCTGTTGTTATTTGTCAAAACTTATTTATGGCAGTTTTTCAAATTAATATCACAGAGATTTCAGTCACATTGAATTCCTTGATTTTAAGCATGATTAGATCCACAAGATTGACCAATTACCAATCAACAAACTCAAATACTTGTTGTTCCTTCTGTTCGATTTTGTATTTCCATAGTTGTTTGTAATTTTCTTGAACATTTGTCTCAAATCTTGGACCATTAGTTGAAATTAAACGAAAAAATGCAATTTGAGATGCGAATCCGACATTTGGAAAGTCTTCTGTGGGTAAACCAACACCTGTAATTTCATAAACAAAATCTGGATAAGATTTTACCACTTTTTCGCACCATTCGGCAAACTGAGATCGCGTCCATTCAAATTTGTGATCATAGTGACGAAAAGTCAGTTCCTTGTTACCAAAAACCACATTGAACTCAAAATTTGGTGTTGTTATAGCCACCAATTTTGGCTTATAGATACCGAAAATACAATTGGCTAGTTCATCAACTTTACTCTCTTCCATGTGTTCAATCACTTCAACACAAGTTATAGCATCTAAACCAATTAATCGAGGATCAGGTTTGCAAATATCACCTTCGTAAATAAGTATATCTAGCTGGAACTCTCGACCAAGAACATAATCACAGGCAACTGGTTCAATCCTCCGATTAGCATATTCCAGCACAAATCTGTCCCTGTCAACGGCGATTATTTTCTCAACATGTTTTATTGTTTTGACAAACCTCAGAAGATTACCTTCTGCACAGCCCAGATCAGCAACAGATTTGATAGGTGTTGAGTGATTCGCAATTGCTTTTACCACTGCATCATAACGTTGTAAATAAAGTGGTGGAGTAAAAATGGTTGGAGTGCTTTCCAAAGCTATTTCCTTCTGGTCCACTACTGGTACTTCAACAGCCATTGTGATTTACAATTTGGAATCAACAATGTTTATGAACAATGAATACAGTAGTGATTCGGATAAAGTTGACAAGTCTTCAGTGAATTAACAGGAAAACAAAGACAATACTAATATTTAAACACAATCAATAAATTAATTAATGGAGCTGCACTTAACCAAAAGTTAACTAAAAGTGTAACTGTAAGTGTCAACTCAATGCTCATAAGCCATATTTCGATATTCGGATCCGATATCTGTACTAGAAGATACTATTATTCTGTGTTCGATTTGGCAGTTTTATCACAATTTATCGGTTCAACAATATTCTTATCATTAACAATATCTTAAGTAGTAAGGATAAAGGCCAAAAATAGGAAAAAAGACTGCTTACCGTTCAAACAGGTTATGATTTAGACTTTCAAGAAACATAACACCTAATTTTCGTAATAGATATAGTGAAGAGAAGGCCAAGTTTAAGAATGTAACGGACAATGATTTTCACCTTTGGCCATCTTACCACTTGTCTCAACTGATCTTTGCCTTATCGTTTGTTATTTATATTTTTTGCTGTTTGTCTTCTGATAGCTTCAACAATTGGTTTGCTATCCAATTTGTGTGGCCTCTGTCACTTGATTTTCTTGATTCGCCTTCACTCGTACCCATTTCTTGAGTTTATTGAATAAGCCTCTTAAGCTTGCACTTGTACTCTGGACAGATGTAGACTGATGCTCATCAACGTTTTCTTGTTTAATTAGCATGTTAGTGATTAACTTGAAACTATGAGGATGGATGTACTACTGAACCAAACAATCAGAGATAAACTTGATTTTAAGATAGGAAGGCATGTCTCTTACATAATTATGTTATCAATTGCTATTGATATTACTCGATATTTTTCATAATCATCTTTTAGCTTTTTTATTTTTCATTAATATCTGATTGAATAAGACAATTTTCATGCAAAAATCTCTTCAGTCGTATTTACAATGAAACATTTTGTTGGTAATAAATTATTACTAATAAGCATAATCATACTGTTATCATTATTAAGAATTGCAATTTTAGTTAAAATACTCTTCAAATCAACTTATGCTACTAACCCAAGATGCAGTATTTGATAAGACTATAGCCATTTGCTGAATTTTCAATGATCATTAACATGAAAAGATAATTTATTCTGATGATGAATGAACCTCTTTAGCTGACTTAACTCAAAGGCATTCATTAATCACACTGTCAATATAAAGAAAATCTATTTATCATTAATGAAATTCACTTTAAATGAATCAAAAGTTGATTCTAATTTACAAAAATGTTATATCGATACTTGAATCCGATATTTAAAGTAGATACTTCTCAATCCTGAGTCAGGATTCCTGTTTCAGGTTTGTTTTCGAGATGTACCGTTGTTCAAATTGCAGTTAAACTTGATAGCTTCATTCATAGATTTAATAAACTATTTCTTCAATTTTGTGCCATGTTTTTATAATTGTTCAAAATTTTATTATAATCTATTTTCATGTTTTACTAATCTACGAATTTTTACGATCCTCAAAATAAGTTGACATTGGGTTAGTGTTACTGGTTTATTCTTTCAATGTTTATAGTTTTTTTAGTTCATTTACAAATATATAAAAGTAAAAAAGATAAACTCCAATCCTGATTTGTGCTAATTTTTGGAAATATATTGTCTACCGAAACTAATTATCAATCTACAATTATGATTCAACTCAATATTTCCTCCAGAGCCATTTGCTAACTGTCCATATTAGACGTGCCTTCAACATGGGTTATGTAAATATTCAGATATTAACATGTGTTTATTTACTCCAATTTTCAATGGTTGGTAATTTACATTTTGCTTCAATTTCGATTTGTTTTCTCATAAATTGAACTATCTCTTATTCTCAATCTATTTTCAGGGTCTTGTTTTCGAAGTCGTCAGCCCAACACTTGATGAACTGAGGATTGTAACCAATTCAACCAGTGATGCTATGTCGTTGGTATACTCGCTAAGATCTACTGGTTATGTTTTGGGATCGATAATAGGTAATCTTGTTTTTCATTACACCAATTTCATCCTTTGAATCTTTTTTTGTGGATCAAAAGCTCATTGACTGTGTTCAAATTAAATATGTCAAGGATAGCAAGTTAAAAGCAATAGATACCAAATCCATAAGCTTAGGGTTTTATGTTTTCTGGATAAAATTTCAGCTCGATCATGTGATTTCTATCATTTGCAACCCATCTTATCAAAACATTCAATTTCTCTGAGTAAACTTTATTTCACATAACCTTGGATTTACAGTTGGCTTAATTTAATCAAGGAAATTGCTAACATTAAAAAAGTAAATACAAATTACAAACATTGAATTTTAATAACAAAGCTCTTCTTTTTTCAACAGGAGGAGGAATTTTCCATTACTTTATTCCAATCGTATCTCTGTGCTGTGCAGTTTTTATCAATTCAGTGACTATTGGATTGGTAGGTCAAACGTATAATTTAAATGCGCTTTATACAATCTTCACAATAAACGGACTCACAACCGGAGTCATTGACGTTGGTACCAATGTTTGGATTCTTAGACTATTTTCGGATCGAAGTGGACCTTACATAATGGCTCTTTATACAAGTTTTTCACTTGGCACTGTGTTGGCTCCATTGTATTCTGCACCTTTCTTGCAAGAATCTCTATTAATAGGAACCATGTCCAAAATTCACATACCCTACTTGATAACAAGTATATTTACATTGATCCCTTGTCTTGGTTTAACTTATCTGTTCATTCAACAGTTGGCTTTACGCTATGATGACAGAAACTTTTTCTCACGACGAGTAACCTACACAAGACAATCATCGAAAACTGCGCTCAACTCTCGAAGCTCTACAAGTTTTGGTGAGAAAACTTTAGTCTTGCTTGCTGTTCTTATGATCATGATTTACAGTGGAATGGAGATTATATTTTCTGAATATATGATTTCAATGTTGAATCGCAGCAAGCTAAATTTAACAAGTTCAACAACATCGCAAATAAGATCAGCAACAAATGCTGCTTACTCCGTGGGCAAAGTGATATTTATTGGAATCAGTACATTCATTCGTCCTTACAGAATAATCCTTCTGGATTCACTGGTTGTTATTTTTTCGGTCATCATGTTGATCATCTATTTCAATTCTTCTCTATCCGCTATTTGGATTTTCAGCATTCTTTTTGGTCTTGGAACATCTTCTCTTTATCCTTCAATTTATCCTTTTGTTGAGACTTTCGTTGAGGTGGATTATTTCAAAGGATCTTTCTTCATCTGTGCCAGTGGATTAACTGCAATAATATTTCCAGTTTTGATTGGCAGCTATCTAGAAACCACTCCAACTCTCATTTTACATCTTAAACTGCTCACAATGATTTTCACAATAACATTGGCTATTGTTATAAATATACTTGGAAGTCGGTTGCTTATACGCAAGCAAAGAGCTCCAGTAAATGAGGAGAATGACGAAAACCAAATTGACGAAAATGCAATCTACTAAATTTTAACAATGCAATTTAATTGCATCATTTTTACATTGGCTGAAGGATTATTTTTCTAAATCAATTCATAGTTTTTATCAAATCAAGATGATTTTTAAGAAGTTTTAAGTGTTGCTAATCCATCCTCAATATTTTCATTGTTTATGTTCAATTCACTGATTGAAATGTTTTATCTCTAAATATAGTTTAATGAACAGCATTTAATCGATGACTATTATTTATAATGTTATAATATATAATAATGTAATGTTATTGTTACAATAAATAAATTATGGATTTCTAGTGACCAAGACATGGACAATGATTGTTTCTCAATAGCTGTTGCCACATTTGCAAGTCATTGTGGGGAATGTGGTCCGATCTAATTAATAGTTAATAATCAATATAAACAAGAGTCGGAGCTTGTGGCACCTAATTTTTCTTGCTTTCTGACTTTTAATTCAATTTTCACTTTGAATTATAAAATAAGTTTCAGCAATCTGTATATTGTATTTCTTCTGATTATGCTAAATTTCATACACTGAATAATTAGGGTGAGTTTATGAATAAGTCTTGAGTATTAATTGTAGTATTTTCTAGCCTTTCAATTAACTTTAACTACCTTTTTTGATTTTACCTTGCAGTGATCAATTTATCAACATCCCTATTTTTACGGAAAGTTAACTTTATGGCTGTTGAAGTACCAGTAGTCGACCAGAAGGCAGTCCAACCATTTTCACTCCACCACTTTATTTACAACGTTATGATGCAGTGGTTAATGCAATTGCATTTTTGGTAACAAGGAACTGACTTTTCGTCACTATGATCACAAATTTGAATGGACGCGATCTCAGTTTGCCAAATGGTGCGAAAAAGTGTGCATCCTGATGTCATCATTTAAGAAACAAATTTTACTGATTGATTTATCTAAGCGAACACTCCTGAGCATTTGATGGTTAACATTAGATTACACTACTAGATTGAATCAAATCACCATTTAAAATTAAGTGATGGAGTCACAAGTGATTGAATAAAATTGGAAACGTTCAATTAATATCTGCATATTGATTCTGATAAGCCAATCGGACGTTATTTCGGTTATGCTAAACTCATTTGAAGTCAGAATGATTATGGTTAACAGTCACCAGGTTGAGCGGAGGCAAATGAGTTTTAAATACAGATACTTTCACAGATTGTTCAGATTGTATAATTTTATAAACAAACATTCAATCTGAGCACATTTGATAACAAATTCAACAATTTTTTGCATCAAGTGGCAATCAAAACTTTCAAGTATTATAAATAGAATTCTAATGTTTTTTTCTTTTGCATTCAATTGCGATTCATTCTGAATTTGAAGGACAATCATCGATATTATAGACAGAATAATGAGACTAAATTAGCTAAGATCAATGAAAAAATAGCGAACGGATTCTCTATTGATGACTTACATCATAATTTTTCCGAGATAACTCTTTTTAATAACAAAATAAGCAAGACAATTAAGGAAAAAGATATTAAATCATGATTGAGCAAAAGTATAAAAGTAGAAGTTTAAAATTCATTCAATTCAGTGTTGTTGATGTGAAAGTCACAATTGAGCAAAGAGTAAGGAGGTTACATTACTCTTTGCAATTGAGTGAGTAAAATTGGAAATGTGAAATTGCTATCTTTATATTGAGCTTATTGTACAATTGATGGTTAAACACATGAATAGACGGTTCAATATACATTCAATTCAGTGTTTTGGGCAAGTTTTCATTGATTAAGCAAATTAGAAACAACGATTCAATTACAAAATCCCTTTCATTGATTATTTCAATATTTGTTATTGGTTTGAAGCTTTTACAATGAATTATACGATTGGACTTCTCTTAACATGTAAGTTGTTAATTTTTTTAGCAATTCTCAATTCACTTTTGATACCTTTTTCAATTTTACTTCTTTACAGTGATCATTGTGTCAAAATGCTCATCATTGCGAGAATTGGACTTTGCACAAAGTTTATACTTTCTTTTCGCGTATGAGGATTCACGTATACCAGACCCGCTATTCACTGCTTTTGTTAACAGACGAGTTGACCAACTAAATGTTATATGCGCAAATGAAACGCTTTCTAATGCAACAAAAGTCTTTTGTCTGTCCACAAATAATTCATTATCGTTACTCTTGGATTGGCTCAGTTCTGATAATGTCTACAGTCAAAAAAATAATACCTTTAAGTACCTTGGAACCAGAGATCTGCATAAATTTTACGAACAAACTGTGAAGATTTTGAATAAGGTTTATAAATTTAATAGCATTCCTGTTAATGTTGCTGTTGATTATTTCAATACAAGTTCATTGGAATCAGTTAATATTTATCATTTTCCGCTTCTTTTGACAGCTTATATTAATGACATTAAATTGATTCGTGAGTATGAAGAAACAATTGGAAAGTCAAAACGAGTTAACGTGAAGATTGTCGAAATGTTAAACTCGTTATCCATAGAAGCAAAAAATCTCACTAATGATGTTGATTGGGAGGACAATAAAGAACGAGAAATTACTCGAATAGCAATGGACCAATGTTTACAGCGATTTAAAGTTTTGATGAAGATTTTTAGAAAAAATTTCTTGCAATATTCATAAGTTTGAAAATTTATTGTTAGCTGAAATTGAATACATTAAATAGATCAAAGTCAGTTAATTTATCTTAAATATTTGCATGTCTATGTCTATGCTACTTTATGAATATTTTGAATCAATGTGTTTTTGTCATAAGTTGTCAGAAACAAAATTAACTCTTTCTCATTTCTCACTATTTACCTTTAAAAGATACAAGATGTATATTGAAATAATACGAGAAAACACACGGACTTATTTTGTGAAACATCTGTTAGACTGTAATTATATTCAATCAAGATGAAATGATTAAACATTACAGAATAAGCCATTTTAATTGAAAAAATAAAGTGTTCAGTAATTTGCTTATTAATTTTTGTCTGAGTTTTACACAGTTTTAGTAAATCAACAACAGTAATAATTATATCTGGAGATTGACTGTCTAATAGTCTTACAATGAAATATACAATTGGGTATATCTTTACGCTTACATGTAAGTAATTGTTTCGAGCCTTTCAATTTTTATTATTTATAAACATCAGATGATTAAGATTAACTGAGCTGAAACTATATGAGTCAAAGATTAAATTTGGAAAAAATTAGTATGATATGTGCTGTCCTTCGACTTTTAAGCACATAACAAGTCGAGTTTTTAGTGAAAAAATTATGTAAGTTAAAAACTTCTATGGAGTTTATTATGGAGAAATGATAAGCGCCACCTGTTGGGCGGTTGAAATTTAGGTGTCCGACCCGAATTAACGCTTATTAGCCTAAGACTCTGACTTTATAATTTTATTTTCAACGATGAAAATGATTATACGACTGACTTAGCACACATTAGCAAAGCTAATGCGTTAATTTGTGGCATTTTTCAATCCAAAACAGACTTGCAGTCTTTTTTCATGATTTTAGGCAGCTGAGGTCATTTCAATGACAATTATTTCATACAAATTGGACTCTGAATGCTGAAATCTTTGTAAATTCGAGCTCTCTGAACACGTTTTAGTCCCTTTCCAGAATTTAATAAAATTTTCAAGTCTAATATCAGAGATATTCCATCTTGAAACAAACATAGAGAAGTGACAGTTTTTTTGAAAAATACTGTATCTTTACGCTTACATGTAAGTAATTGTTTCGAGCCTTTCAATTAACTTTAACCTTTTTGTTTTACTTTGTTGCAGTGATCAATTTATCAATATGCACATTTTTACGAGAAGTTGACTTTATGGAAAGCATGTTTGAACCAATTATACCGAGTCAGCTATTATCTGCTATGGTCAAGCGACGAATTGCTGAAGTCAATGCTTTTTACGAGAATAAAACCCTTTCCAATACAACAAGAGCATTTGCCCTGTACACTAATCAATCATTAACAATGTTCTTGGATTTGTTGAGTACAGATTCATGTACAGATTCAAGTAATGATGCAACTGAATTTTACAAGCAAACTGTTTACAGAATTAATGAGGTTTATGAATATTTGGACATTGATAGTTATGATCGTTACACTGTAGATACAATTTACGCACTTGATATTTATAATATATCAGCGGGTGTATTTAAAGCTACGATTAATGCTTATATCAGTGACATGGAATTGGTTCGTGACTATGCAAAACAGTCCATAAATCGAGTAAACATGGGAATTGTTAAAAAACTAAAAACTTTATCTGATGAAATGGACAATCTTTTTCATGATGATTCTTGGAGGCGCGACACAAATAAAACGATTGGATACAAAGCAATCGATCAAGGTATCTCACGATTGAGACTCTTGTTAAAATTATTCAGCAATGCATGGGCCAAAGGTTGTAGTTTCCACGTTTAATTGTTGAATGAATGTTCAATTTTCACCAAATGAATTCGCTAAAATTGACAAAAACTGAAAAGTTGAAAAGATTTGAACGTTTATTTCAAAATATATCAATGAATTCACCCAATGATCCAACTGTGGCCACTTAAACAGTCAAAAGGTAGTTGAAGCCAATTGCTGTGATTACATTCCTATGACAATATACAAATATGGTTAAATTTTTACTCTACTAAACTTAACTTTGAAATTAAACTTGACACTCAAGTGATAAGTCACAATTGAGTGAATAAAATTGGAAACGTGAAATTGCTATCTTTATATTGAGCTTATTATACAATTGATGGGTAAAACACATGAATAGACTGTTCAATATACATTCAATTCAGTGTTTTGGTCAAGTTTACATTGATTAAGCAAATTAGAAACAACGATTCAATTACAAAATCCATTTTATTAATTGTTTCAATATTTGTTATCGATTTAGTAGCTTTTACAATGAATTATACGATTGGACTTCTCTTAACATGTAAGTTGTTATTTTTTTTAGCAATTCTCAATTCACTTTTGATATCTTTTTCAATTTTACTTTGTTTTAGTGTTCATTGTTTCAATACCCTTACCAAAGCGAGAAGAGGACTTTGCACAAAGTTTATGTCCTTATAAAGATGTACCGAAGGCACCAAGAACCGCTTTTTGTTGCCCAATGAATTGTCCAACTCAGAGTCTGACACTTGTCGTTTCTCTTGACGAGTCAATTGACACTTATTGTTACAAAAAAAACATTTTGCTTCTTTACTCTTTGGTTGGTCCAGTTTAGATGATTTAAATGAGCCTATCTTAGTTGCCATATTTTTTGTCACTTATAAAAAAAAAATTATTGATGTAAACTGAAACAGTAAACCAATAGCAATTAATGGTATAATTTTTTCTCAGTTAAGTGACGATTTCCCATTGATCTGGTGTTATTCAAAAATGTGATGAATCGCAATGGATGATTCACTCTCCAAGGAAAAGTTTTTTTATAAAACTTGCAAAACCATGATAGATATAACGATAGATTGTGTATCGATGCTAAAGTATTGAACAAATTGTGTATATATTAGATGATAAAAATATATTGAAATGAATTGTGAACTGAATTGATTAACCGTTGAAATGCTGTTTTGGCAAGGAATGACATGGCTACTCATTGAAACGCTTGTAACAAATATGAATGCATCTAGGACAAAGGATCTAACACTGGCCGCTCAAACAATCAAAAGATTGGAGAATCAGACAGATATTCCATTGCTTAGAAACAAAATGAAAACATAGAGCAAAATATGTTTTTTATCCTGACATCATTTAAGAAACTGTTTGCTTGATTAATGTAAACGGATATTGTAAAATATTAGATTGTAAATCAATTTTTTGGAACAGCAATATAGCAGTAACATTCAAAAATAAGACATAATCAGAAATAACTAAATGTAGACCATTAACCATCAAACCATTAGACGAATTTAATCGAAAAATGCAATTTGAGATGCGAACTCAACATTTGGAAAGTCTTCGGTTGATAAACCAACACCTGTAATTTAATAAACAAAATCTGGATAAGACCTTTTCGCACCATTCGGCAAACTGAGATCGCGTCCATTCAAATTTGTGATCATAGTGACGAAAAGTCAATTCCTTGTTACCAAAAACCACGTTGAACTCAAAATTTGGTGTTGTTATGGTCTTAATTCGGGCTTGTAGATACCGAAAATACAATTGGCTAGTTGATCAACTTTACTCTCTTCACTGTGTTCAATACAAGTTATGGCTCTAAGCTAATTTGAGATTCACTTTACGCGCCTTTTCAAGAAAATGGTATCATCATTATAGATGGAGTTAATCATGCAAAATTGTAATTGCATTTTGAAATTCAAGCCTCGAATTTCATGTCGTATTTCTATTATTTTTTATTTTTGAATTGTGATTTATCTATTTAAATTGTTTTCGTTTATTGTTTAATACACCTTCGAAATGCCTTCAGAGAACAAGGTTATCACCTCATGGGCTGACGAGGATGGTGAAGATGATGAATATGGTAGTGAAGAAGCTTTACCTGAAACCACAATAAAAATTGATGGCAACGTCAAAATTATAACTTCATTTAAGTATGAAGACGGTAAAAAATATAAAATTAAAAGTTATTTTAAAATTGAACGTGTAAAGGTATCAAAAGATATATCAAAAAGAAAGAAATGGCAAAAATTTGGATTAGCTTCGGAAGATCCACCTGGACCTAACCCAGCAAACACCGTCTGTTGTGAAGATGTCTTCATGCAATTCATAACAAATAAAGATGAAGATCCTGAAAAAGATGAAATAAATCTTTTGAACAAGAATGTGGTAAGATGTCGGTATTGTGAGATGGACCATTGGACCCTTAAATGTCCATACAAAGACAAGTTTGAGAACCGGGACAAGGAAGGTGCTGAATCTAGTTTAGCAATGAAAGATGATGATAAAAAAACTGGTGGAAAATACATTCCTCCTGGTCTCCGTGAAGGTGGAAACAAACGTGGTGATTTCCTGCTCACCAATAAATCAAAAGATGAAGCCAACACTATCAGAGTCACCAACTTACCTGAAGAAATTCAAGATGGCGACATCAAAGATTTATTCGCTCCTTTCGGAAAAATAGTACGAATCTTTTTGGCTAAAGACAAGTACACGGGACAATCTAAAGGATTCGCGTTCGTTAGTTTTGATAGAAAGGAAGATGCTGCTAAGGCAATCAAACATGTGAATGGTTTTGGTTATGCTAATCTAATTTTAAATGTAGAATGGGCAAAGCCATCAAATAATTGATGATAATAATCTTATGATGATGATAAAAGTCCTGTATCTGAAAAATTGAATAAAATAAATTGAGTTATTTGAACAAAATTACTATTTTATGAATACAAAACTGTTGCTCAAAATGATGTTGAAGCACCAGTAGTCGATCAAAAGGAGATAGTTTTGATTTGATGCCCTAACGCGTATTGAATTGATTGAACATATGGAAGAGAGTAAAGTTGATCAACTAGCCAATTGTATTTTCGGTATCTATAAGCCAAAATTGGTAACTATATCATGCCGTTGACATGAACAGATTTGTGCTGAATTATGCAAATCGGAGCATTGGACTTGTTGCCTGATATTATGTTCCCGATCGAGAGTGCCAGCTAGATATATGGTATTTACAAAGGTGATATTTGTAAACCTGACCCTCGATTAATTGGTGGCCATAACAACAACAAATTTTGCGTTAAATGTAATTTGCGATTTGTTAAATGCGATAACAAGGAACTGACTTTTCGTCACTATGCTCACAAATTTGAATGGACGCGATCTCAGTTTGCCGAATGGAGCCAAAAAGTAGTTAAATCTTATCCAGTTTTTGTTTATGAAATTACAGGTGTTGATTTATCAACCGAAGACTTTCCAAAAGTTGGATTCGCATCTCAAATTGCATTTTTTCGCTTAAATTCGTATAATGGTACAAGATTCAAACAAAAATTCATTCAAACACAAGTTATAGCATCTAAACCAATTAATCGAGGATCAGGTTTACAAATATCACCTCCGTAAATAAATATATCTAGCTTGAACTCTCGACCAAGAACATAATCACAGGCAACTGGTTCAATCCTCCGATTAGCATATTCCAACACAAATCTGTCCCTGTCAACGGCGATTATTTTCTCAACATGTTTTATTGTTTTGACAAACCTCAAAAGATTACCTTCTGCACAGCCTAGATCAGCAACAGACTTGATAGGTGTTGGGTGATTCGCAATTGCTTTGACCACTGCATCATAACGTTGTAAATAAAGTGGTGGAGTAAAAATGGTTGGAGTGCTTTCCAAAGCTATTTCCTTCTGGTCCACTACTGGTACTTCAACAGCCATTTTGATTTACAATTTTGAATCAACAATTTTTATGAACAATGAATACAGTAGTAATTCGGATAAAGTTGACAAGTCTTCGGTGAATTAACAGGAAAACCCAGTTAATACTAATAAAACAACTTAATATAATGTAGACCATTGAAGATTAAATCACTAGGCGAATTTAAGCGACAAAAGCAATTTGAGATGCGAGTCCAACATAAGGAAAGTCTTCTGTAGGTAAACCAACACCTGTAATTTAATAAACAAAATCTGGATAAGATTTTACCACCTTCTCGCACCATTCGGCAAACTGAGATCGCGTCCATTCAAATTTGTGATCATAGTGACGAAAAGTCAGTTCCTTGTTACCAAAAACCACATTGAACTCAAAATTTGGTGTTGTTATGGTCTTAATTCGGGCTTATAGATACCGAAAATACAATTGGCTAGTTGATCAACTTTACTCTCTTCACCAAAGAGTAAGAAGAGAGTTACAGTACAATACCCGGTTAAAGCAATTTTTTTGTGTTCCGTTTTATTGAAGTTTCACCTAGTTACAGGAATCGGGATACCGCTCTCCCAAACGGTTACTCTCGATAAGTGGAAAGTAACCTGCGAGTGCACTCTAGGTGCACCGCTCGATGGTATGTTCGACCATCAAAAAAGGGGGGAAATACAAAATTTGGGTATGTAGGATTACAAAGAGCAGCTTTACAAAGTAGTGTGTTTTACAATTGGTTGTGTGGAAAAACTTAAATTCAAAAATCAATATATCAAAAAAAAATACAAAAAAGATTCAATTAAATTCCCAACCCACCCCAAAAAAAAAAAAATTTACCAGGACAAAATTCAAAAGGTAGAGAGAAACCAAAAGGATCAAAGATAGATTATTAGCGAAAGTGATTGAATTCAATTAAATTCTGATTGTAAACAGATTAGGTGATGAAGATTTTAGATTTTAGATTTAGAGTTTGTCTTGAGAGAGAACGGGTTAAGTTCTCTCATATGTTATATTATGAGAGAGAATCGGTTAGATTCTCTCATATTGTATGTTATGAGAGAGAACTGGTTAAGTTCTCTCATATAAATTTTTAATATGAATTTTGATTATAGTTTTTATCACAAATAAATGAAATCAAAACTATTTGATGGAATCACCGTGTGCACAGAGTATTAAAAAATAATTTAAAACACAAAATATAAATAAAAAACTAAAATTAATTAAACTAAATTAAATTAAATTAAGACGGTGAAGAACACGTGGAGTCCATTTAAAGCAATTTTCACAGTCGCCATCTATGATTTTTTACAAATTGACAAATTTTATATAATCCTTTCATTACCGAAATCTTAAGCACTGTCAGTTTCTGAAAGTCATTATCACTAGATGGAGACTTAGAAAAAAAAATTGCTTTAACCGGGTATTGTACTGTAACTTCAATGGAAAAATAGGCATCACAAAAAAGTTGAAAAAGTCACCACAAGATGCCTCTGATGCAAAGATTAAGATATAAATTAATGTAAAATGCACATTTTAGTTCAGGCACATCACCACTGCATGGCTCTGTTCGCTGTATTTTACATTGCAAAACACTGGATTTCTTCCTTCAGCGCCATCTAGGGGTGACTTTTGCAACAATTTATTGAAAAAAGTGGTTTTTCATTAAGTGGTCTCTCTTGTTATACTCTTTGCTCTTCACTGTGTTCAATACAAGTTATGGCTCTAAGCTAATTTGAGATTCACTTTACGCGCCTTTTCAAGAAAATGTAGCTATCATCATAGATGGCGTTAATCATGCCAAAGTGTAATTACAGCTTGAATTTCAATTTACATCGTGTTGTTGATTTTTCCATTTTTGAATTGTGTTTTCATCTATTTAAATTGATTTTTTAATGATTTAATTTAGTGATAGTTAATTTACATTCGAAATGCCGTCGGAGAACAAGGTTATCACCTCATGGGCTGACGAGGATGGTGAAGATGATGAATATGGTAGTGAAGAAGCTTTACCTGAAACCACAACAAAAATTGATGGCAACGTCAAAATTATAACTTCATTCAAGTATGAAGACGGTAAAAAATATAAAATTAAAAGTTATTTCAAAATTGGCCGGATAACGGTGTCCAAAGATATCTCCAAAAGAAAAAAATGGTCTAAATTTGGTTTAGCTTCGGAAGATCCACCTGGACCTAACCCAGCAAACACCGTCTGCTGTGAGGATGTCTTCATCCAATTTATCACAAATAAAGATGAAGACATTGAAAAAGATGAACTAAATCTTTTGAACAAGAATGTAGTCCGCTGCCGATATTGTGAAATGGACCATTGGACCCTTAAATGTCCATACAAAGACAAGTTTGAGAACAGAGACAAGGAAGGTGCTGAATCTAGTTTAGCAGAAAAAGATGAAAAGAAGATTGGTGGAAAATACATTCCTCCTGGTCTCCGTGAAGGTGGAAACAAACGTGGTGATTTCCTGCTCACCAATAAATCAAAAGATGAAGCCAACACTATCAGAGTCACCAACTTACCTGAAGAAATTCAAGATGGCGACATCAAAGATTTATTCGCTCCTTTCGGAAAAATAGTACGAATCTTTTTGGCTAAAGACAAGTACACGGGACAATCTAAAGGATTCGCGTTCGTTAGTTTTGATAGAAAGGAAGATGCTGCTAAGGCAATCAAACATGTAAATGGATTTGGTTATGCTAATCTAATTTTAAATGTAGAATGGGCAAAGCCATCAAATAATTGATAATAATAATCTGATGATGATTATAAAAATCCTGTATCTGACAAATTGAATCAAATAAATTAACTTATTTGAATAAAATTACTATTTTATGAATACAAAACTGTTGCTCAAAATGATGTTGAAGTACAAGTAGTCGATCAAAAGTAGGTAATTTAAGTTTGATGCTATAACGCATATTGAAGTGATTGAGCATATGGAAGAGAGTAAAGTTGGTTCACCCACAGAAGACTTTCAAAATGTTTGATTCGCACAGCTAATTGAATTTTTTCGTTTAAATTCATCCAATGGTCCAAGATTTGAGACAAATGTTCAAAAAAATTCAAACAACTATGGCAATATAAAATTGAGTAGAAGGAACAATAAGTATTTGAGTTCGTTTATTGATAAAAGCAAGTTGAAATTTTCTTAATTCATAGTTATACTTTTAGAAAGCACATATTCACCTGCTTGCAGCTACATTTCATCCAGTACAAATCCAATGATAGTCATCTCTGAGGCGAGTCTTCGATGATATTGCTTATATGAAACAGTACTAATTACCATTCTTGTCTCTATCTTTGAACTGAGCGAGTCATAACAATCATTCTGACCAAACTAGTCATTTTACAATCATATTCATCAGGAATTTGGAATGTTTGGAGACTTGAAGGAAATCATTTTTGGTAAGCAATTCATGCTTTAACCTGTAAAATAATATGCACACTTGGATTTACTCGTATGTCGTATCTACGTATCTTAACTACTTGTTAGCCTACTCGCCACAAATTAAAATAAATATTTTCGCGTATCAGAAATTGAAAAATACATGTAAGTGAAGCTCGGTATGTTTATAGTTTCAAAAACAAAACAAATATCATTGCAATGTAAGTTAGCTGAAAATAATCAGAAACATAAGACAATATACAGATTGCTGAAGTCTAATTGTGTAATCTAAAGTAAAAATTTAATGAAAAAGGCAGCAAGCAAGAAAAATGAAGGTGCCATAATTAATTGGAAGCTTTGACTCTTGATTATCTCGATTCTTTCGATAACTATTAATGAGATCGGGCCACATTCACCACGATGAAGTTCAAATACGGCAAGCACAATGAGCTTTTTTATTGTCAATATAAGAAACACCATCAATTGATAAACAATCATTGTCCATGTCTTGTTTACCAGAACATCGTACCTTTCCTAAAACCTGTGTAAAATTAAAATCAAAAGTATAATTAGCATAAATTAAATTAAAAATCAGGTTTATAAAATAAAGATTTACCTCTGAAATCAATAGGGAAGCTGTTTCTTCGATATTTATGTTATCCTTGGCACTAGTAAAATACCAACCAACAAAGCCATTATTTTGACAAAAATCGTCCAAAAATGAAGGATCACTAAAATTTTCATGCTTAGGTAAATCGCACTAATAGATTGAATGAAAAAATGAAATTTATCATAAATTTTCACCAGTTAAAGAGTTATTGAGAGTTAAATGGCTGTTGTTGATTTACCTTATTGGCAACTAAAACTGCAGGAATTGGAGATCCATCTGGCATTGTAACTTTAGTATCTAAATCTTCCTTCCATTTCTTAACAGCTTCAAAAGATTGCGATTTTGAGGCATCGAAACAAATTAAGGCACCAACTGCATCTTTATAATAGACTCTGGTCATACTTCCGAACCTTTCTTGACCAGCAATATCCCATAATTGTAATCTTATCAATGTACTTGGATCCCATTGAACAACTTTAAGCGCAAAATCAACACCAATCTAGTAATGAGAAATTATAATCAGTCAAAGTCAATTATAAAAAGTTAACCATGTAATGTTATCATCTTACCGTTGCTCTGTAATGACTGTTGAATAAATGATGAACATATCGACGGATGAAGCTTGTTTTACCAGTTGCTAAATCACCAATAACCAGAATTTTGAAAAGATATTCCTTTGACTCAGATTCACAGTTCTGTAAATTGGATGAGAAAAACAATGGAAAGTGATTAATAAACTGGCAACAATTGAATATAATGAAGAGTGTAAACAAAAGCCATTTCAAACAATTAATCTTCTTCACAGATTGTTACCAATTCAGAAGTGTATTGAATATTTTCAACTTTTCCTTGTCTATTATCTTAACCTTATTTCAATGAAAATGATAAACATGATTGGTGAACATAAAATGTGATCACAATTTCAGACAAAATATGAAAGTGGATTATTTTTTGAGAAACAAATGTAATAAAAGTTAATCGAGAGTGAAATGTAACTGAAAACTTTCAAATGATTGCTAATGCTAAGCCTTCCCTAATCTGTCCTTTATCTGACTCAGATTGAAGGGTATCTTTGAACCTTTGGTGTAAAAATATTCTCAAGTTAAAGATGAAAAGTTGAAACACTAATGGCTATGAAAATTGTCCGTTGAAATTGGCTTTGCAGGTTTGGTTCAAAGTTTTGAAAATAACAAACGACTCTTCAACCATCACCAAGAGCTGACACCAAAACATTGTTAATTGTGATCATGAAAAGGGAAAATTAGATTTGATAGTTGAGATTGTCAACAAGAAAACATTGAATCTTGTTGAGTTTGATTAGCTGATTGTAAATGGCAACTTACTTGAGAAACACTGTTGAGATTGTTACGTTGGTTTGCCATAACGTAAAAATATGTTTTGTTGATGATCAGGTTGCAAATCAATAATTAAACTTAATCCTTAGGCACATAAAAGTTATCATTTCACTATTGAATAACGAAGATAAAGGAAAAATATTTTAATATCTGGAAGATAATATCAGTTGATTAAATTGAAATTAAAATAAAAAATAAAACAACAATCAGTTGAAGACAAGTAAATCACAAACACGTTTTGCTTCTGATTTTTCAAGAGTCAAAATCACAAGATTAAGTCTATGTAAACGGTAAGCTCATTGTAATGGTGTCAAGTGAATGAGTTTTAATTGAGATTTACCTAAATCAATATGAATATGATGTTGATCTGAGGTTTGAACTGAAAATGGTAATAATGAAAGTTAGTTAGCAATTAAGTTCATTGGTCTAGTCAGGTCAACAAGTTGATAATCAGAGTTAACAAAAAGGGAGAAGAGCAGAAGACAGAAGTAGTGAGAGACAAAAGGCGTAACTTTCTTCTTCTCTGTCTAATATTTTAGTTTTAAGAATAGTTTCTCTAGTTTCTTGATGGCCAAAGAAAGAGAGATAGAAAGACAGGGAAAGAGAGAGAGAAGGTCACTTGGAAAGACGGAGATAACGAGATTACCTTTTCTCTAAGTTGTTTAGCCAGTTTAGTTGGAGTCGAGGAGTAACTTGTTTTGTTTGTGTTCAGCTCAAGTACAGTCGAACTCAAATTTTACCATTTTACACTCAAATGAAATGCTTTGATACAACACATTTGAGTAATTTTAGTTCATCCTGTTGACCATCCAATCAGTTGATTATTGAGTGTTAGCCGTTCGATTAAACAGTTTGGCTTTTGTTGCATTTCCTTGTGTTTCAATCTGTGTTGGGTTCAAATGGGTCTATCTGTACCAGTGAGGTTTCAATGATCAATTCAAAAGGTTAAATTGGTCCAAATTTTTATTAATTTTTTTTTCTTTCATGAGATTCAATTTAAATTACATACATTGAACGGGAAAGGTTCAAATTTGATTATAGTCTGTGCATAATATACATCGTACATAGTTGATCAAAGTCGACATTTTTTCATTTTTGTAGTCAAAATCAGCATAATATAAGTTTTGCTTGTCTTTGCAGTTGTATTAAATTTTTGGTCGATGAACACAAAAAAACAGAAGATCCTCTGATGATGACTTTGCTTATTGGAATGTTGAAAATCAGTTAATTGTGAATATTTTGTGACATTTTGGTTTGCAAAATGCAATTAACCCCAATGAATTACAATTGTTATGAAGAGGGGAGAACACAAAAGAAAAAGGAAAAAGAAAAAAGTTATTAACTTGCTTTTTGAAGTCTTTTGGTATTTTTTTGTCCTAAACGAACGATAACAAAATGAAAATAAATAATAAGAATCCAAATGAGATTAGAAAGTGAGAAATCATGATTGATATGAAATATTAAGCTAATAAGGCTATTAATGATAACTGTTGATTAGTAATTAGACTTTAATGAATCATGCCGAAAGTATAAAATGATAATTAATTAGGCAATGGAAATCAAAGTTTTGTTGTTTGTTGGTTTGTTGTCGTAATTTCTTTTCGTTTGGAATCAAAATCAGGCACTTTGTGCACAAGTTACCACTTCTGATTATCTTCATGATTATTACTTCAAGCTTCGTTGATGAGCTATCAGTCAACTGATGAACTATATAGGTGTTATGATGAAAAAGCAGTGTGATGTTTTGACCAGTCATAAGTAGCTTTATAAATAAAAAGTCTAATATCAACATGAAAACTAAACAAAAGTTGCCACTCCAGTTGGAGATTGGACTTGTGAGGTTTTTGATTTAGCTCCGTAAATTCCGATGAAAGATCCTTCTTCCTCGAACTTGGAGCTTTCGTCTTCACCGAAATCAGTCATTGAATCGGTGTCTTCAGCTTCGTTCAGCTTGGAGCTGCTGTTTAAAGAGGCTCGGCTAACTAAATGGGCATTAGACCTAAAAATGAATAAAGAGAAGAGAAGAGAAAAAAAACAAAATTATTAACAATTCTTTGTTGAACATGTGATTTTAAAAGCTTTTGTTGAAGAAAAATGATGAAAGGTGAAAGGTGAAACAATATATAATAAAAAGCAGACCAAACCACGAGCCAGATTGACCTCAGTCCATCTTTTCTTCTTAGCCTTCTTATAACACACCGCTTCCGTTTAAATCTGTTTCACTTAAAAGTTTAAGACGAGGAAGCCATCTGTCAATACCTTGCTTGAGGCTGTTGCAAGGCTTGTTGAGTGTAAAAAGTGTAATACACGAATCAAAAAATAACAAATAAATTACTCATTAAACAAATAGCTAATATAACACATTAATTAAACTAACTAAACTTTTCGTAGCTAATCTTGACGTAATAAATAATAATTACTTTATGATTTGACTATTGGATTTATTGGCTATGGTTAGGAAATGTAGACTTCAAAAAGACAGATGTTTTTTAGCATAAAGCTTCCTATGGAAAGGAAGCGTCATACGGAAACTAGAGACTATTAGCTTAACTTAGCTCAATGCCAGCTCAGGTTTGTCTAGTTTGTGAAAAAAAATAAACAGCAAATGTTTCATTTTTAAAGTTTGACTATGGTCTGACCAAGACAGGTCAATATGGATAAAAGTACCAAAGGAAGTGATATTTTCCCAAGGTGCATTTAAATTTGTTGCTGTTTTTTCTGGTTGAATCTACAGTAGTTGAGATTTAGTCTTTTTGTCAACCAGACTAAACCTTGAGTTTAATTGTATTGATTATTAGATTAACAGTTATAAGTGGTGTAATTACAGTTATTAATATTACGAGGGAAAAGCTAAAAGTTACTATGTTTGTATTGGAAACCTTGATTAAACAATGTTAGATAAGGAGAAGAAGGAAAAACTTACGGTTTTGAATATTCGTTGAAACCACCGTGATCGCCATAATCTAATTCGCGACCCTTTTTGGCTTCTTTTTCATGGACAGAGTATTTTGCGCCTCGGTTACGTTTAACAATACATACTACAACGGTCAAAACAATGACCAAGGCAATTGCACAAAGCATACCAATGAGCCAGTCAACATCACTTAGACGGTTGTCATAGCTGTTAAAACCCACTTGAAAACGGAAAATGATAAAAAAAGAGGAAAATTAGAGGAAAGGAAGAAAAGAGAAGAAGATTAGTTTATCTGTGTTAATAACTGTTTGATAACATGTCAAGTTATGTCATGTTTTTATATTTGTTTATTTTCTTACATGGTACTTCATCAGAGAGGGAAATTGGTTTCACTCGACTTGCTGTTTGGTGTTCTCCATCAACGGATACAACACGAACTTCATAATTATAGTTAGGATCTAATCCTTCCAGGTAAATATACTCCTTGTCGACTTCTTTAGGAGTACTTTTATAAGTTGCTTCACCTGAGAGTAATTAAATAAATAAACAAAAAGAAAAAGGTTGTCAATTAGATAAAATTTATAAAAATTATCCATGTAAGTCTAATGATGAGTATGATATATAAAAAGGGAAGTGAACAATAACATCAATCATCACTAATAAGAATATTATAGTTGCTCGAGTCAGCTTTAATTTTCCTTTTATGTCTATTAGTTTTCAATCCATGGTTTCACCCACTCACACAAGAAAAAATAAATATGTTTAACCTAATAATGGTTTCATATATTGTTGAAAATTTTTCATAGCCACCATTAAGACAAGGCAGAATCGATTGAGAAATTAAGAGAAATCGCATAATTTTGAAAGATGAGAACAATCTCCAGATTAGCTCATATTAGCAAACAATTATCAACTTAAATACAGTCAAAAGAAACTCAACAATTATCCTAATTTCTAATCGATTGTGCCTTGCTCAGGTGATGAGTCATCACTATGGTAAAATTAGATATTTTGAAGAGTAAAAAAAGACTTAGAGGTACAAGATTGGATGAGAAAATAAAGATAGAGAGGAAAAAAGCTGCCTACATCAGCATCTTAATCTCTTTTTCTCTTTTTATAAGTTTTTTCTTTTTAAAGTAGTTTTCTGTTTTGCTTACCTTCTTTTCGATATTGTACATAAAAGGAGCTGCCAGGTTTTCCAGAGCGCAATGGTGGGACCCAGATGACACGGACGGCGGTCCCATCCTTTTCTTCGATTCTATAATCAAAATCGGGCTCATCAGGAATGGTTGAACTTTCATTTCCAATTGTATTTTCTTCGATATAATATTCTTCACCTTCACCTCCATTAGTGAAAGCTCTGATGCTGATACGATATTTGGTTGCAGGTTTTAAACCCGCCAATTTGTATTTAAGGTACATTAAATTTGTTATTGGATCTCTTGTGATTACATCACCTAATTCTGTTCCGATAACCTCTCGATATGATATTTTATAACCTTTCAGTTCGCCATTAAGCTCTTCTGGTTGATTCCAAATAAGATAAAGAGCACTTTTACCCATTGGAATGGCGTCAAAATTTGTTACAGGACCAGGTGGACCTTCTTCAGTTTTGACTGACACAATATCAGATCCAGGACCAGAGTACATAGTATTAAAAGCCATGACTTGGGCTTTATTAAGAGTATTTGGTTTGAGAATGTTGATCTTGGCTCGAGTTACATTTGAGTTAACTTTAACTTCTCTCATCTTTTCCAGACCATCACGCTCATTCCAAATAAATATTTTATAACCTTCAAAGCGACCATTAATACTATCTTCTGGAACAGGGTCCCAAGCAAATTCAGCTGTTTGCCAGTCATAGGTTCGAATAAAGTGGAAATTTTCAGGTCTTTTGGACGGTTTAGCTTCTCCCGAGTATCCAATAACTTCTGGTGCAACTGTGTGTGCTTGACCTCGGGAATTGTGTGCTTCAACTTTTATTCGATACGGCTTATATGTAGGAGTATTATTCACCTTAAAACTACTCTGTCTCCAATCGTTTATTATGACTGACTCGAAACCGCCAAGAGTTGATTCTTCTCGTTTCCAATAAACTTTATAATAAAATCCAGGAGCATTATGTTCAATCTGTTCCATAGGAGTCCATGAAATAATCATATTGTCAGGTGCAGAACCCCATCCTTTGACATTTTTAGGATTATTATGAGGTATATCTTCTTCGGTGGTACACATTTCTGAATGTTTTGAAGCAATACTTTTACCAATTTTGTTAACAGCAATTACTCGGAACGTATAGTTGGCCCAAGGAGAAATTGAAACTTGGAAAATAGTATCTGGAGCTGGAACGTGACTATAGTGATCATCCCAAACATTTGGTGTGAAACTTGTATTGTACTGAATGATGTATTGAAGGATTTGAGCTCTATTGTCTCCCATTGGTTTCCATTCAATTCTAGCAGTTGACTTACCACATTCAACAGCCACAATTTGAGGTGCATTAGGAACATCTTGAACAATTAAAGTTGCTTTGGCAGATACCGAGTCAAGCTCAGTTTTAGCTGTGCAAGTGTATTCACCCGAATCAAGTTCTCTTGTTTTCAAAATGCTTAAAGAATTGTCGGCAGATTTTACCATTCGTTGATTTTGTTCAAAATCGATGTCACGACCAGCGAATGACCAAACAATTTGAAGGTCTAGGGAGGAGTCTGCACGAGCAGCACAACGAAAAACGGCAACTTTACCAGCAGCCACTTCGATATCTTCTGGTGGATTGATGATCTCAGTTTTAGATTTTACTTCTAGAAAGCCTTCAGCTTTAGCTTCTCCTAGCTTATTGACCGCATGACACACATATTTACCAGCATAGTCATACTTGAGATCTTTAATTTTCAAGTCTCCTTCGTCCAAAATATCATAATCACCTCCAGTTAACTCAATGCCATCACGTAACCATCGGACCTCAGGCTTAGGAGCCCCAAAAACTCGACATCTTAAGATAGCTGTATGAGTAGCTACTGCTTTAATAACTTCGGCGGGTTTTTCAATGATTCTCGGAGGAAGGGCTAGAACATTGAGGTAGAAATTTTTAAACGCATAACCATGAATATTTGATGCGTTACACTGGAACACGGCGGTATCTGTTTTGATGAGATTTTCGATAGTTAAAGTTGTTCCCTTTAACTTTCGTCGATTATTGGCCGGTGACGTATCTAATGGTTTACCATTGATTAGCCACTGAAGCTTTGGTTCAGGTATGCCACTTGCTTCACATGAAAATGTGACTGTTTCACCTTCAGCTGCAACTGTATTGTTTGGAACTTTCTTCCAATAGGGAGCTGCCAATACTTGCACTCGAGTTGAATGAGTCATCACCTGTCCGACTCCGTTACTTGCTGAACAAACGTAAGTATCTTCATCTTGAAAATCCACTTTTGTAATTGAAAGTGTTTTTCCATGATTTATAAAATTGTAACGGTTACCACTAAGAGGTGAATTATTTTTACGCCAAACTACATCTGGTAAGGGTGTCCCTCCATAAATGCAATGTAATTCTAGATTTTGACCTCTTAAGGCTGTAACACTGGGTGGAGAAGTATACTGAAGTTTTGGTGGATGGCTTGAAAGGCCAGAGCTGCCAGAGGATGTTACTCTAAGATAAACTTTACGACCGAATTTATATTCACTACGAAAATGTGATGTTGCACTGCATGTATAGGCACCATTGTCATGTAATTGATCATCTTGTGTAACATTGGAGAAATGTAACTTACCATCAGGATCTACTGTTAAACGTGAACTATTAATGGTATATAAAGCACCGGTTCTTGATTGAACCATCCAATAGATGGTTGGTTTAGGATAACCTGTAGGTGGGTTACAGTCAATTGTTAAAGGTTCCCCTTCAATAACATTTTTCACCTCCGGATCTGTTTCCGGAAAAGATGCTAACTCTGATTTACGAAGAAAAACTGCATTAGACACTGCAGTTCCATGAATATTTTCAGCAAAACATTGATACAACCCTTCATCTAAACTGTCGGGCTGAGAAAAGGTAAGACTACCTCGTTTCGAAGTTTGACTTATCCTTTTATCATAAGCCACTGGATCAAACTTAACACCATTTTTGATCCAACTATATTTAGGTTCAGGATTACCAGTGGCCTCACACTCAAGGGCAAATGGTTTAACAGCCTCATCTGCTGGAGAAGCCACCTGGAAAAGCTGTTGATGCTTGGGTTGTTTGGTAATGGATGGAGGTTCCGTACTCAGTGAAAAGGTAACACAAACAAAAGTCAATAATATGAAACTCCATGAAATTATGGCACGATTAAAGATTAAATTCATTTTAGAACTAAAAAATAAAATTGATAAAAAAAATTGAAATTTGAAAATTTTCAAAACTAAAGATGAATCATCAACCCAACACACAACATCACATTTTAAACAAGAGAGAGAAAGAAAGGAAAAAAGTACAGCAGTTTGACGGAAAACAACTTTGGTTTTGAAATAACAAAAGATGAACCGACTCCACCCAATCATCCCAACAAAACCTCAAAAGTTAAGTCAATAAGCCGACGCCATCTGACGTAACCATAGGTAAATAGAAAACAATTGTTCTCTAATCGTGACAGTCTCCATCTATTGGTATTAAAATAGTTTAACTGCAGATGGTTTCTCATTGAAATGAAATAACCATTAATCTTGACAAGCCCCTTAAGTGATTCATTCAATGAAAGCAAATTAAATCTTCTTCTCATCATTTGAATCCATTATTTTTTTTCTATCGCTTTTTCATTATCAAAGTCAACTATTGAATGATTTATGTTGATCAGGATCAAGAAACTGTTGATAAGTTAATCATTTCCTGTTGAATGATAAAGCACAATACAGATAAACTGTTTATTTTTGTTTAACCAAAATGTTCATGTTCCAGTTTTATGTTAATCAAATTGTGGGTCAAAACAGGGTCTGGTGAGACAATTGAAAGATTACAGACTTAGGCTATTAATTGTTCAATTTTTGGCAATTGATGACAGTAAATTATCTCAATATTCATCAGTACAATTTAATTTGGTGTTCATTGCCATCACTAAATGTTTAACTTGAGTCGCGATTTTTCAAACCGTTTTATTGATATTTTATACAAGCTGTAAAAGTGAACAGATGAGAAGGATTTCACTGTAAATTGATTAATTGTCGTATTCATCATCTTCTTTCATCAATGATACGTTAAAGGCCAGTAGAGATCATTAATTTAATTGTAAGATTGAATGAGTATCAATTTTGCAATTAGATTCACAAGGTTCAATTTTGTCAAGGTATAATACAATTTCATTTTAATATTGGCAACAATCAATAGTTTTCATCTTATTTGTTTTTTAATCAATTAATTATTTAATTTATAACATTATTATTATCATTATTATTATTACTGTTTAGGTTTGTTTTGTTTGGAACAAGCGAAGCCAGAAAATCGGACAAAAAAACAATTCTTATTCAACTAGTGCATGTTTTGAGGTGTCGAGGTGTAGTAAGATGCATTTGTATAATTGATGAGAGTGAATATGAAAGATGTTGGTGAAGGTGATGAAGGTGATGATGATATTGATGAGGACCATTAGAATGCAGTTTCTGTTAGTGAAGGTGAAGATGGTTTTGTTATGCTTTTATTAATACAATGTTCAGTCCTTGACATTTCTGTACCAAGTCTTGAATAAAAATGGCGATAACAACAGGATGACAAACAAGTGATCATCAGGAAAATTATGATCATGATGATGATGATGATGATGATCACTTCTTCCCAATCAGGTAGTAGGTCATGAGTTTGCCTTTTCCTTTAACAGAAACTAAACCTCGTTGTTCAAAAATGAAACCAAATTCTTGCAATATTTTGGCAGTTTCTTCGACAACCTGAAAATTAAAAGATGAAAACAATTATAATCAAATATTACAGATGATTGTCTATTGTCATCTTACCTGAATACAGCCAGCTTTACCTGTGCTTTCCATACGACTAGCGACATTGACAGTGTTACCCCACATATCAAAGTGAGGTTTCCTTGCTCCAATTACCCCGGCAGTTATTGGTCCTTGGTTAATACCTGATTAACATTTCAAATTTAGAAACAAAAAAAAGAGTAAAAATATAAATATTTGTAACACTTGAGAGATGAGTAAACAAAGAAATGTCAATTGAATTGTTGCTTCAAATTTTTAAATTGTCAAGTTTAAACAATGACAATGATACAATGAGTGGAAGTAAAATTGAATTATTTTCTGGTTTTGGAATGATATTAAGTCTGGTTTCGGGTTTTGCTTTTTTTGGTTTTTCAAAAATAACTACAAAATTTGAACTTTGATTGAGATTGTTTGGCAAAAAATTGAATTCAATCTTTTTAATGTTTGTCCAATAGAATGAAAATTTTTCTGGTTCAACAGTTTACCATAGATTTTAATGTTTTTTAGGTTCACTATTGTAAATCAATGACCTATTAATAGAATCTAAATGATCAGGAAGTTTAATTGTCTCATACTGAAGCGAATAGTCAAATGTATCAATCATTTATTACCAAAGGAAATAGTAAATTCACTTTGATTGACATTTTATCAGAAAATTTAATCAAAGAAATGATTGTAATACAAATAATAGTCAACAGCTAGAAGTGAAATATAGTAATAAAAATTGATTCATACATTGCTAATCAATAGCGACAATCATAATTACAACTGACAGTTGAACAATTGATTGACTGGATAACTTTCAAATCAACACTAATGGTTGACTAAGATTAATGATTAACATTTAAACTAACCACAAATTACAAACTAATGAGAAACCAAAAAATTGGATCTAAAAAAGCTACCAGAACGAGGTGATTCCCTGCACATCATATAAAATAAAACATTGAAAGGTAAAGCGAAACAATTAAATTTATCTAACAATTACCAGATTAGATGATTACATCAACTAGCATTTCTCGAAAAACATTGAACATGAAAAGAAGTCAGAAAATGTCATCAATTTGGTCAATTGATGTGAAAAAACGACCGTAATTAATATGCTATTATTAGCATGACAATTACTGGGTTTCATTAATTAGTCAACTTACCCATTCGAAGGACAAAATTATTAAAACTTTCTCTATTAATATTATTAAGAGTTTCCTTTAAAGTTAATGCAAAATCAGTTAAAGTTGCTAAATGTTGCCAACTTTTAGCTTCATCTCGTTCCTCTTCATTTAAACCTGAAGCAGCCATGTAAGTGGCTCCAATGGTTTTAATTTTAATTATATCACGGAAACGATCTTGTTCAAGTAAAGCATCGTAATCAGAAATAACCTCATTAAGGAAACGTAAACATTCCAAGCCTTGATTATTGACTGACTCTTCGGTATAAAAATCGGAAAAATTGGGCATTGCAGCGAAAAGGACGCCAACCGCTTCATAGGATTTAGAGTAAAGCTCTTCGTCTCGTTTACGGCGACCAAGAAAGTGAATGGCAACGTGCGGAGGTAAAATGTTATAGACAAGTGCTTCATTTTTTTGTCTCATATCTTCAACCTTCTTCTTTTGTTCATCAACCTCTTTCTGCCAAAGGAAAAGACGACGAGCCATTGAATCACAATTACGGTTAATCAGGTAAAGTGCAATGGCAACGATAAGGGTTACTATGGATAGGGTTGATGATTGACTGAGCCAGCTTGAGGTTGTAGCTGTGGATGAGGTTGAGGTTGAGGTTGAGGCTAAAGAGGTTTCATCGGTTTCAATGGTGGCTGAACCGGATAGACTTGATGATGAAGATGATAGGCTGGATGGTTGATTAAGAGTTGCTGTTGTTGCTGTTGTTGTGGGTGAATGGGATGCTGAATGGGTTGAGCTTATTGTTGTATCGGTGAAATGCTGATACAACAGGGTATAATTGAAGGCTATTTGAAGAGCTCCAAGAATTAAAATAAAGGTCATCTTGAAAACATGAGATATCCTTTGGAGTGAGCTTATCGCCAACATACCCAGTATTGCAAAAAATACCAGATAATGGGGAATACAGTGGCTTGGTGAATATGAATAGGAGGGTGAAGATGAAAAGGATGAGAAAGAGGAAGATAGAGAAGGTGGAAGATTGAGTTCCGCCGGAAGATCTGATGTTAACGTTGATGGAGATGGAAATGGCGATAATAAGGATGATAATGAAGACTCGGAGTCTTCATTGATGGTGTCATCTTGATAACTAGAATTACAACTTATCTGTTGAAGTAGAAAAGAGAAAAAGACGAAAATACGAATTAGTTGAGTTATCAGAATGAAACATCAGAATTACAGGGAAATAAAAAAATAATTATTAAGATAATGATAAGAAGTACAAAAAAAGAGTTGCAAAAGAAGAGCGAACAAGAAAAAGGAGGAAAACGGAAAATGATGATTAAAAGGATTGCTTGATTAAATAGACTTTGCTAGGTGTTAATGAGAAGTTTTTGTTCATCAAGATAAAAGTCAATGAGAGGTTTGATTAAATTGTTAATTTAGTTGTTAACAATTGACATTGGGATTGTTAATAACTTTTATTCAATAACTTTCTAATTGGCAAAGTTTGAAGTTTAATCTGGAACAGTTTGTCATCTGAAAAGAGTCAAGATGAAGATGTTTTTTTTATTATCATCTTGATTCACATAACAGTCAATATTGAACTTGTTAAGATGAAAATGTTTGATTGTTGATTGAAGTTTGTTAAATAGTCAATTGAAAATGATTGACATTTACCATTCAAGTTTGACATTTAATCATGTCAATTTGGGCTAAACTTTTCATGTGATTCAATGAAAGTTAACATGAAATGACTAAATCTTCATTATCGGTGAATTGCTAAGCGATAATAACTAAATCTTGGGAACAATTAACAAGTTAATTGACTTTATTGGTCCATTATTAGCAACACGCAAAACAATATTGATAACAAATTGATTTATGAATGAATTCCTAATCATGAGAAATGAAAATAATGAAACTATTACTGAAGAAACAGTTGATTAGAGATGAAAGTATCAACCTTATCTGAAAGTGAAATGAAAATTCATTACTGAATATTTCATTATTCAATCAATTCTGAGATGGAAAAAAGTGAAACAATAAAAAGAATTGGAAAGTTGTCTTAAAGGTTGAAATGCAATGGGAAAGTCAAAGATTTGGTGTTTGATTTTTTGATGAAAAAATTTGGGTTCACCGTAAAACTGAATAATTCATTTATCGATTTCAATATCATAACTGTTCTTGATACTTGAAACATCAACCTCATCATAATCAGTCTTGGAGATGATCCAATAATAAGCAGTGTAAATAAGTACAATCATGATTCTTGTTGCCTTTTTTCCCCTGTCTTATTGGAACCACAAAAAATCCATTCAATATGATTAATATTAACGAAGAAAAGCGAAGAAAGAAAAAAAGAAAACTATAAAACTAGATAACATTTCTGAATTGGAACGATCAATCATAAGATTGATCAATTCAATTGGGATTGATATCAAATTTGTGCAATTGACTAATCAAATAACAAACTTAAAGGGAATCAACGTAAGCAATAACGTCAAGAAAGAAGAAGAGGAAAAAATAACAAAAGTTAAGGTAAAATTAATATTGTTAAACAATTAAATTAATGGCAGGACACAATTGATAATCTCTCTCTCATCATGATTACAGCTATTATCATGGTGCATGAATAATGAGAGAAATAATAAATAAGATTGAAAAATGTTATTCCACTGACAGTCAATTTTTACTGTTAGTTTATGCGTTCTGCAAAGGCAAAGATAAAATATTATTTCTTATTATTATCATAATGTAATAATAAAATGAATATAACTGGGAGTTCATTTGTTATTCCAAGTGAAGTGCATGGTAAGAACAAAAAGATCAAGATGATGAAGACGATCATGAGAATGATGGGAATCAAGATGGTGAATACACTTTACTTTAAATGGATAAGACTACTTGAGAATCACAATTGAAAAGTCAGTTTAGTCAAGTATTACAACAATTCAAACAGACAACCAGGAAAGACTGAAAATGTGAGTGAAGGGTAAGAAGCAAAGCAAAGGAACCACTTTTTTTAAACTTTTTTTTCTGCAAACTCAAACTTTTCCTATTGTCATTTTACAGCAATTTTGGCTTTCTAAAAGATAAATAAATAAACTGTAAATGATATTAAATCTGTAAACCTGTAATCTGTAAATATTAAATTTGCTCATCAAAGTAACGAACCTGATTGTTTTGGATTGTTTCGAGTTGATATTTGTTTTTGCTTTTTACACTTCAATATTGATTTGTAACTTGTTAGCTTTTAAAGATTGATTAAAATTTAAAATTCAATTCAATTGCTACCATTGGAAACAAAGCAATTGTTAGGGAAACAAAAAGCTAAAATAGTTTACTGGGAGTTGCATATTGACTTCAATGGCTGTTTTCATTATTCTCATCTGTTTGTCAAACATTTTTTTACCATTCAAAGATATTTCTTTGGGTTCAGGTTGAGATTGAAATTAAGTTTAGTTAGCTTGATTAGGAATGTTGAAATTAAATTGCTTTAAATTGTTTATTCAATTTAACTGCTTGTCGATGCAAAAAAATGATAGTTGATGAGATTTTAGTTCAATTGAGAGTTAAATTGTCTATCAACAGCTAAATTTTAGAGTCAACTGTAAATTGAGAAAACAAATATTCAATTCCTTTTTTTCCTCATTTTGTCCCATTTATTGTGATTACATTTTTCAAATTTTTTTTTCATTAAATCAATGAAATCAACTTTTATTCAGAACTATTCAATGATTAAATTGAGCATGAAAACAGAGTAACCTAACAACTAACTTTAATCAATGACTAGGATTGCAAGGTTTCCTATGATATTAGCGATTGAACAAATAAAAGTTGAATATTTTTAATCAATATTGTTTTTAATTAACCGACAGATTTGAAACAACTGTCAATTGTTGTTTCATCTTTACGGTTATCACAATTTGTTCAGCTATTCTGACAATCAATTATAATCAATGAACCTATTCAGTGTCTCCAAAATTCAATACTGACCTAAAAAATATTTTCAAGACTCAGTAAATATCAATTGTATAATGGTTCATCTACTTGATCGTTTTTGTGTGTATAAAGTATTGATATTTGTCCAAATAGAGGCAAAAAAGATAATAATAATAAACTTTTTTTTCATGACAAGAAAAAAAAACTTTTTTAGATAACCTATTATTGGTTCGTTTGAGGGTCAATCTATTATTATTATACAATGGTTATAACATGGTTATTGTTAGATGAAATTTTTTCCCTTCACTCTCATATTGCTTTTGCCTCTTCAAGGTAATATTGTTCACGTTGAGTTAACAAGGTGACTGTTGAGTATTAAAAGTATTATTGAAATGTACAATCTATTGAATAACTAGATTAAAAGTTGAATCTTGTTCTGGTTCAAGTTGATCTTGTGAATTTGCCTTCAATTAGAACAGCTGTAAGAACTTTTACTAACAAGTGTTTCACCCAAAGATGAGAATATTGAATTACTATTAACTGAACCTGGAAACTTGTCAAGTCTAAGAAGCCTAAATTTAACGGTAATTCAACTTTCATTTTTTGTTCACACAAACTCAAGTTAAAGGTTAGGTTAGCTTTGGATGGTAAAGGGTCAAAACAGCGAAATAGCAAAAGCCAAAGCAGAGAAGGTCCAAACAACGAAAGTCGAAATAGCGAAGTGTAAAAAAAAGAATAATTAAACTGATTGAAATTTTTCTGAAAATTAAACAAATGCTTCATTTGCCATAAACTGAATCGGCTCAATATTTCATTTAATTTTTTTGATCTTTTCATTCAAATCTATTCAATCAAATTTTTTCCTCATCATGTCAAATTACGAACTGATTAAATCCAAGAAAAGTGAACATTTTTGCTCTTACAGGACAATATGAAAATCGGTTTTTCGCGAACTTGACTTTCGCTATTTTGCTTTCGCTGTTTTGTGTTTCACGGTTTTGGGGTTAAACTGGGAATTGGAAGTTATAAAGATTTGGAATTTTTTCTTTGGGATTTTTTTTGAAGGATTTACTTACATTGGCAATGATATGAGCAACTATCCAAACAAGTATCATGGAAGTGGCTATTACTAGACGGACCCATGACTTTGCTTGGACAGCTTTTGATAGAGCTAGAAGAGGCTTTGGGCAAGTTTTGCATATTATGGTTGACATGGAAGCTACTGAGGTTGGACCAAGTATGGCTACCGAGATAAAATAGACCAAAAACAGGGTTAAGGTTAATGGACCAATTAAAATGTAACTTATAAATGAACAGGCAAGTGTACAAGGCAGTGAAACCAGTGATATGCTTCCGGTAATTTCACGGGTATTCCGAAACTGAGACTCATAGGCTGGATTACGAAAGGTAAGGCTGATTGGGTAACTATGGTCTGATAAATTGTGAGCATTATCTCGATTTAATAGTTCATGGCGAAGACGAGCATTGTATTCAGCGACATTCTTTATCTCTCCTCCTGAGCCAATGATACACTCATGATCTTCACCATCACCTTCATCACCTCCAACCCCAAGATTAACTTGGTTTGTCATATCACCTTTGTTTTGTTGTATTGCATCCAAAGTACCTTCTGGATACTGTAAAAGTAAAAAACAATTAGAGATACAATTTAATCCTTTTTAAACAGCCAATCAACTTTATCATCATCAATGGAGTGATGCTGAAAATTTAATTATCTTCAAGCTTAAAGCAATCCTTTTTTTTGTTGCCACTGGAAATGTTTAAAATTGATTCAGAATATCATTCATGGCATTATGAGTACAATTTTCATGTTCAAATTTTAAATAATTCAAATATTTATGGAATGTAAACAATATTTTGTTTAACGGTGAAAACAATGAAAGAGTTGGAGCAATGAATTTATAATGAACAAATGAATAACAAGAGCTGAAAGTTGATAGCAAATTGCATTACAGCTCAAACAATGGCTATTTATTGGGATTCTGGATAGACAAAGGAAAATGTTAATCAAATGAGAAAAGTTTGGCAAAGTAATTTATTGGCCATATTCATGATAATGGTTATTATAATGATGATATAATTCAACTTGAAGGTTCAAGAATATTTGTATTAAAAGGCAAAAAGGAAATGATGAAAAGGAAGTTTAAAGACTGTTCAATGAGAGAGAGAGAGAGAAAACAAAATGTTCAATCAGAACAGAAACTCAATCAGCTCGATCAAGATGAATGATTCAGAGGATAAGATGGATTCAGTCAATGGATCTATCATTAGATTTGAGCCCAAATTTTGACCCAAATATTTCTAGTCAAATAAAAAGGTTTCGAGGTAAACTGAATTCACTAGCAAAAGTAAATCTTGAACAAATCTAACAAAAAAATGTTACATTCAGATAAACCATAAAATAACCAAAAATAAAAGTAATCTCAATTAGATTTGAATTGATGAAAAATAGCGATTGAAAGATAAGAAGAAGGAAAAAAGATGGAACCAGAAAAATTCATGAACCAGGATTTACCAATAGAAAGCCTATCAAGATGAGATCTGTGAAGAACGAGGAAAGGGTTAAGAGAGTAAAATTGCTAATTTCAATGGACAGTCACTAATCAGTATTGATGGTGAAACTAAATTTTATCCTTCTATTAATTTGACAAGAAAAAAAAGAGTCTAATTGCCAGTTAATGCATATTCATTGTAATTTCAGTTGACATTTGACTTTAATTATTGAGAAAAGTTCAAGTGTGTTTATAAGGTTGACTGGGTTCAAGCTGATTGTAAGGGTAACAATTAAAGGTGTGGTATAATACTTACTGGTTTAATTACTCTAACAATAAAATATGTTTGAACATTGGCAAGTCTAATGGCTTCTTCTCGTGAAGCTCCATCACCATTTGTAACTTCAAACTCTCCATTTAAAAAGGATAACGTTTTCTCTGAAATATGGACTCGTCCAGGTAAACCGCCAGACTCCATTTTATTGGCCAACTCGACGTCTCTCGAGTAGACATCAAATTGCCACTGTTTTTGCCCTAAAACACCGGCCAAAACTCCGCCCGTGTGAATACCGACTCTCATGTCTACACAGGATTTAGTCTCTTCTCTAACCGATTTAATGGCCTCAACCATGGACAGGCCCATGTGAACACAAAGGACTGCATGGTCAGAGCGTTGTTCGGGTGCACCCGAAATACAATAATAACAATCGCCTAAAATTTTTATTCGCAACTGATGATATTTATCGGAAAGCTTATCAAATCGAGCAAACAGTTCATTCAATGTTTTCACCAGTTCCGCAGCGGAACAAGTTGAACTGATTGCTGTAAAACCGACGATATCGGCAAACAAAATTGACACATTCTCGTGACGGGACATGTAAATCTTTTTAAACTGACCAGTAACCATTGAACCTAAATCTTGACGAATCTCGGCTGCAACGTGTTTTGGTAAAACGGATAAAAGTAGCCTTTCCTGTTCGGCTGATTCCTCTTCGAGGACAAGTTTAACTTCAAGGGATTGGCAAGTTTCAAGGAAAGCTCGTCGCTGTTGACGTTCATAGAAAAAGAAAGACATTAAACCCAAAAGGTTGATTCCAATAATTAATATTATATTTGCTCCAATCTGGTAAAGAAAAAAGATTAATAGAGTTTTAATTAGAACAGCAATTAGCAATGAAATGAAAAAAAAGGTAAAGAAAAGTCTCTGATTTTAATTATAAACTTTTAATGTTATCCAGGACTTTGCTTTCTTCCTTTACTTTGACAACAATTTTCATTTAATAGAGGTAATACAATTGACTATTGTAAATGTACATTGTAATTTTACAATCAATTTATCAACCTGTGTCAGGTAATTGTTTATTGGGACAATTAAAATGCACTTCAATTGGGAAATGAAGCAATTATCTAATTTAAATGCAATTTATTCTTTCCTTTATTTCATTTTTTATCCTCAATTTTATTCCTCATTTGCATCCTTTTCATGGAGCTTTTAAGCTGAAAAAGTAACAAAATTGTTACCAAGTCAGCATTGAAAAATATAACAAATTGAGAAATAATTCAAATGATCATTACAGGAGATTAGGTTCAACGTCATGGAATAACTTGTAATGAGAAAAAAAGAGAGAATCAAGAAAAGATAAATTTTTAAACATTGAATTATATTTAAAAACGTTCTTGATATTTATTCATTTTTAATTTTGCGAAAAAAAATTAAAAATCGATGAAAATTTGAAGCAAAACAGATTTAATATTCAATTGAGATTTTTTTATATTACATTATAAACAGACTTTCATAATTGATTGTTTTGATAACACGAGATTGAACTGGGAGTAATAATCAGTTTCATGGTTCAATCTTGAAATTTATGATTATTGAGTTTGGCGTAGACATTGAACTGAACATGAACCAGGTTTGCCAATCATCTTTTCCCCTTTCATTTTCAAATTTTCATAGCAATTATGCAAAAGATTAATCGTTAAAATAGCAAAGTTAGACATCTTTTCATCATTGAATAACCTTAATTATATCATTAATGATCGAGTGAAACATGAGTTTCAAAATCAAATTAAAGGCACAATTTTGGTGATAACCGCGATGACAATTATGACAAACTAATCACAATTTTGTTAATTAATCAAATGATAGATGAAATTTATAATCAAAGGGAAAAATAATTACCATAAAAGTCAGGGAAAATGTGATGTAAGATGATTAGTATTTTACTTGAGTTGAGTTTTGATTGAATTGTGTATTGAATTGGTTTAGATGTGATTCAATTGTAATTCAAATTTGAGTGAAAAAAAGGGAAAACAATTTTGATCGCACAATCAATCATTTTAAGTTTAAATCATCGGGATAACCTCGTCAATTTTGATAAACTTGAAAGGTGAAAAGCTTCAAAGTTGAATGTGTAAAGATGAGAAATAAATAAATTTTGATTGCCAAGTTTATCATAAAGAATCAGGTGAATGGATGTGTGTTGTTAACTGATTGTTCAATGTTATACAATTGGTTCAATTTAATCGCATTATACGCTAAGTTCAAGAAATTTTCAATGATAATCACGTCAAATGCTTAAACGTATTAGCATTATAATGATGAACAGTAACAAGTCAAAGTATTATTATTGATACGAAATCGGCCAAACTTTCACTTTCTGTGATTCAAAGCTCAAGCCCAAACAGCAATACGATCATGATTACAATTTTAATTTAATTTATCATGTTTTACTAATTTTATTTTTCTCGATTAGCTACTTGAAGTTGATTTAAAAGGTGAACTGAGGTTCGCAAGTTTGCTTAAAATGTAACATCTGGAATAGCGAATAATTAGATTTGAACAAAATCTCAACATTTTTGCGATGCAAACCATTAAAATTTGCAAAATTGCAAATTAATAACTGAATTCTTGAGAAAAGATAGTTAGAAAATTGGCAAATGTTACCTGAAATGAGCAGTAAAATTAAGACATGAATATGAACTTTTAATTACTCGAATGAATGAGAACTGTGATCATTAAAAATCGTTCGTAGTCGTAAAGTCAACTGACAGTTACCAATATTTTACTGAACTTGACTTTAATTTTGCATCCAAAAGACAAAAGAAGTTGAAAATTTTGGAAACTCAGCTGATCTTATCGATTATTGAAATATGACCCTTTATGTAGATCATGAGCCATAACAGAATTGTCAGAAAGTGGAATAAAACAGTGGAAAGAAACACGAAGGAGAAAAAAATGTTATTTTATATTTTTGATTGAGTAAACCCAAATGTAACAAAGACGTGGTTTGATGGTTTGATTGAATCAAAAAAAGTTTCCAGTCTCAAGGATAAAATAGAGGTCAAAATAGTCAGGTAAGTTTTTGAGCCGAGTTGGTTGTTAATGTCAACGATAAAGGGAACGAGGTTTACCCAAAGGAAAGGAGATGAAGAGAGGAACAACATGATGATGATGATAAAAGAATGAGAATAGCAACAGAAACGACAGAAAGCCTAAGCCTGTAAGTCGGTGGAAAAAGAGGAAAAAAAATGATGATGATGATGATGATAGAGAACTAGAACTTGGAATAAAAGTAAGATCGATGAACTATTCTGGTTCAATAGGAAAGCTGTCTATTGATTGGTGAAAGGCAAAAAAAGGTAAGAATCACGCAACAACAAGGCAACTCGGTATGAATGTATGAAACTAATCTTGTCATCCTTGCCATCTTTATCACTCTCTGTCATTACCATTATTATCATCACCCTCATCATCATTATATTTCATCTTCATCTTAGCTGAGATTTGTCTTTTTTTTGTTCATGAACGCTCTGAATCATCTTTTCCACATTACGCTAAACTCATTTTCAATTGCACTTTCACATGCCTCAAGCATATTTCAATATTTTTCATCTTCATTTTTCTTCTTCTTCTTCTTCTTCAATTTTCCATCAACAGCTACTAAAATCTTGATAGCTCAGCTTCCCTTTTTTTACCTAACACCTTATTTTTACCTTTGCCAATTTATCATTCCCAATGGTTTACAATTCTAGTGGCAATGTAATACTTATTTTTGCCATTACTTTCGCCTTAACTATTATCATTTCTTACGATGAATCAAATTCAATTAATTTGCTTCCTTTCGTTTAACTTTGAGCAACTCATCTCCCAAAAGGATTAAAAAAAGTAAGTTCAGAATAGGTTCACAATTAAGGTAAACATTCGCATTGAGTTCATGTGGTTCAACAGAATTACTGATAAAAATAAATAGTTTAGCCAAAATATATTGATCAATATAGTTGTCAGGCATTAACAGAACGATGGCAAGATAACATTTTCATGGGTTTTCATGGGAAAGGAAACCAGGGAGGAAGAGAGCAAAAAATGTAACAAAAAGATTGGGTTTTCTGGTTAAAAGGTATGGGAATGAAAAGGAGATAATCTGAGTTATTGTGTCAGAACTCCTTTTCATACGGTTCAAAGTTTAATCAGAAAAATTGAGTTTTTTTTCTTCTTCTTCTTCTTCATTCTTTCTTTCCTCCCTGTAATTATAAATAGGAAATTGTTGCAAGTTAATCACAGTTACCAAGTTACTAGTCCTTGCCTGTTCAGGATAATAGGACCAGATGAAAATTGGGTTTTGTTAAATGTAAGAAATGGGTTTAATGTAAGACTGACTTGGAAATACGATTGATTAAACAATGAAAATGTAAAGCTATATTCAGATGTAAATTGACTCAATATTTTTTTTCCTGGATCATTCAATAGTGAGATAGAGATAAAAAAATAGGTAAAGGTTTTGTTGCTTTCGTTCGTGTTATAACCTTCATGTTACCATAATAGTAATAATAAGCTTTAGATACTTTTTTTTGCTTTTGTCACTGATTCACTCACAGGAAATAGGATGAAGATGAAGCTCATCATGAGGGATAAAATGACGAAAACAGAATCCCCAGGATGATTGTGATTTCACCAAAATCCTATTGATTGATGGTCTGTCAAAAAACAAAACTAAACCTTTCAAAATTTTAAACAACAGCCAATGCATAAACTTATTACTCAAAGTACCGTTAATAACGACAACAGTCAGACAAAACAACATTGAAATAATCATAGGAAAAGTTCAATAGTAATAGTGATTATTCCGTTTCTGATAAAAAGGTTGAAATTGTTCAACACTTTTTGTTTTTCACTGAAAACAAAAGTGACAAAAGTATAAACAGAAAACAAAAATATCATAAACAATGTAATACATTGTTTTAAAAGGGAAAATTGAATCTGATAAAAGAAAAGGCTTGAAAAGTTGAAAGAGAAAATGAGATGAAAATTGGAAGATTTTGGGTGAAAATGAATAAAAAAGAGATTGGAAAACATAATTTTGTATTGGAATTTTCAAATAGCTCAAAATTGGATTGATTATTAATGATTTTTTGTTCACTTCAATGTATCACGATAAACGAAATGAATGATAATGGCGGCTGTTAACAAATTTTATTTTTTGTTCAACTGACAAATGGATATTGCATGGTGAAAACCCGCAAAGGTCCATTAAATTGTTTCAATAAACTGATAACTTTTTCGGTTTTCATCGTTTTTTCTTCTTGTTTGTTTTACCTGAAGCTAAAAAACTCATAAGAAGCTTATAAGATTCAATTGAAGAAGCAATAATAAATATGAAAAAATGCTTATTTTTATACAATTATTTTCTGACTTTGGATTCCCTGTATTGTAAACAATGGAAACTGTACAGTACAGTTACCCAAAAAAAGCCCGGAAGCAGTTCTATTTGCTCAGTGCTGAGCCCATTCTTTATAATCTTTAGTAACATGAAACTGAATATATATCATGAAAGTGAAAAGAGCAAGTTGAATGTGTGTTTCTTGAAGAGATAAGGAAAAGATGGAGAAAAGTTTACCAAATTTTGTGTTTGATTTATTTTCTTCATGATGGTTATACTGTATATTTTACTGAGCAAATTTTATGCTTTTTTTATATATTATTATTGAAAGGAGTTGTTCAATGTTTTTCAATGGGAATTGAAGATTGCTGGATGCATTAGACTTTTTCTTGTATCATTTTTACTCTCAACTTGGCTTATTGATTTGGGTGAAGAAGAAGAAGAAACTCATTTGATAAAGAAG